CCCCCTGTCGGGCAAATCCTGGCGCCACCCCTGACTGTAACATACTTGACTCAAGCCAAAATGGATATAGTCAACACTAAACGTTTATACCAACATTGTTTTAATTGTTTATTTACTTTTACATATTTACTCACTTATTTACTTACTTATTTATTTATTTTTTTATTCATTAATTTATGTATTTATTTATTTATTCATTCATTTATTTATTTATTTGTGTTTTTGTTACTTTAAACTGATTCTTTTGATTGAGCTTCCCTAGCTTCTGGAAAAATTATATGACGTAGCGCCACCACATGGTCTGTTATAATAGACTCATCGGTTCCAGGCATTTTTTACATTTAATTTGTGTAATGATAAAAAATAATAATTTCTAAATAAAAAACGAAAGTAAACATTTTTTTTATATCAATTTACATTTTTGAATATATTTAATCTGTGTTTTGATGTAAACATAATCAATAACATATCTGTGATTGGTAAAACATGTATTTAATATAGTAGGGTCAACCATGAGTGACCGACCTGTTTGGTATAACTTAAATACCTCGAAGTACGAGGGTTGTAATTTTCTAAGACAGAGATTAGTATTAGCTACTTTGAGTGGTAAATCGGTAAAAATATCAAAAATAAGAAATAAAGATGATGATCCTGGTTTGAAAGGTACGTTAATTTTATCTAGAATAGAGGAGCGCTTAGCTTGGTCATCCATCCTGGCTGGGTCAGCACACACACACAAACACACACAGTTTCACGGACACGTCATGATTGGGCCCTAGGCCTAGCGAGGCTTAATATAAATTATGCCTACTTTATGCAGGAGCTAGAACCTCTCTGTTGCTGCTACACTATAGTATTTTTTATTATAGATTACAAAAACTAGTTCTGGCACTGGCCTAGTCAATCAGACTTAAAATTTAAGCAGTGGTTATTGTTACACCAGTCTCAAAGTCAAACCAGTCCAGTACTTCTTAAATTTAAATTCTGATTATACATTATTGGCTTAATCAAATCCATACTTATATTTATAACAATCAGAATTAGAAATTCATTTGAGACTGGCATAACAATAGCCACTGCTGAAAATTTAACTTTTATTTTGTTATTATTAATAATTATTAATCATAATTAATATATGAATAAGAATCAGAATAACTTTATTATTTTAAAATGAAGAAATTGCATGCTCGATAAAATTTAAAACCTTGCATAGAAATACATTCAAATATAAATACAATAAAAAGTACATCACTAATTCAAAACATCAGATACAAAAAATGTTGAAATACTAAAACATCAAAAATTGAATACAAAAAAGAATGGCAAGACATACATTAATTCTGTACTTCAAAAAATTATATTCATGTTAAATTTTTTTTCATGAATTTATAATGCTTTGTAGCTCTTTTAAAAGGAGGATTTTGTGGTCTGGTAGAACAGTATAAATTAAGAGAAAATTTAGCTTTCATTTCTAGTGATTAACAATTGTTATAATTTATTTAATTGTACCAGTACCAGCAATGCCGTAGCCAGCTATTGGGACAGTTGGGACAGTCCCACACACTTTTTCTAATGGGTCCACAAAGAATGGGTCCGCATTTTTAAAATGGGTCCAAATTATGCAATTTTATGGATAAAATGATTCCACTTTTTAAAAAATGGGTCCAGATTTCTTATATTTAGCCTAAAATGTGTAAAATTTTAAGAAAATGGGTCTAGATTTTTAATGTTTTTGCATAAAATGACTTAACTTTCAAGAAAATTATTCTAATTTACGCGTAAAGTGGGTCCACCCTGATACTGGCCCGCACTATTTGAAAATCCTGGCTACGGCATTGAGTATCAGTAGTAAACGCTTGTCTGTAATTTGCTAAAGTTGCCACAAACTATTGTTGTTTTTGTTTGTTTCTTTGTATTGTACTATGTAACAATTAGAAATTGTTAGCAAAAAAAAAAAAATTATTTTCTGTTTACCATCATTTTCCGTTTTGATTTATTTGATACAGATTTTGAAGCTAGTCTTGTTCGTCTTCTGGACAAACTTACAAATGGATCAAGAATTGAAGTCAATGAAACAGGTAATTATTAGCCTATTTTTTGCATGACGAATTTCAATTGGTTCCTCATTAGGTGGCCCGTTGAGCAAACCTGGTCTGCCAGGGTATTTTATTTATTCCAGGAAAAAAATACAGTATAATGACAGTGGATATTGGCAATGTCATGTGCTATACTACTATCATAAGTAAATGTGAGCTTCTAAATTGATGCAGAAAATGTATTAAAATTTTAATAATACTATTCTCATCCTTGCAATGACTGACTGACTGACTGACTGACTGACTGACTGACTGACTGACTGACTGACTGACTGACTGACTGACTGACTGACTGACTGACTGACTGACTGACTGACTGACTGACTGACTGACTGACTGACTGACTGACTGACTGACTGACTGACTGACTGACTGACTGACTGACTGACTGACTGACTGACTGACTGACTGACTGACTGACTGACTGACTGACTGACTGACTGACTGACTGACTGACTGACTGACTGACTGACTGACTGACTGACTGACTGACTGACTGACTGACTGACTGACTGACTGACTGACTGACTGACTGACTGACTGACTGACTGACTGACTGACTGACTGACTGACTGACTGACTGACTGACTGACTGACTGACTGACTGACTGACTGACTGACTGACTGACTGACTGACTGACTGACTGACTGACTGACTGACTGACTGACTGACTGACTGACTGACTGACTGACTGACTGACTGACTGACTGACTGACTGACTGACTGACTGACTGACTGACTGACTGACTGACTGACTGACTGACTGACTGACTGACTGACTGACTGACTGACTGACTGACTGACTGACTGACTGACTGACTGACTGACTGACTGACTGACTGACTGACTGACTGACTGACTGACTGACTGACTGACTGACTGACTGACTGACTGACTGACTGACTGACTGACTGACTGACTGACTGACTGACTGACTGACTGACTGACTGACTGACTGACTGACTGACTGACTGACTGACTGACTGACTGACTGACTGACTGACTGACTGACTGACTGACTGACTGACTGACTGACTGACTGACTGACTGACTGACTGACTGACTGACTGACTGACTGACTGACTGACTGACTGACTGACTGACTGACTGACTGACTGACTGACTGACTGACTGACTGACTGACTGACTGACTGACTGACTGACTGACTGACTGACTGACTGACTGACTGACTGACTGTCTGTCTGTCTGTCTGTCTGTCTGTCTGTCTGTCTGTCTGTCTGTCTGTCTGTATTTACTTTCTTACTTACTTTTTTTTACTTTATTGACAAATGACAAATACGAAGTGGTGGCACAAAGCTTAAATGCTTGCACAACAATATGTATGAAATAAGTAAACAAGGATCACCAGACAGAATAAAATAAACAAAATGACAAATACCTTACTGATTATAGATTGATTACTGTGTGGATATTAAGATTGCAATTATATATTTCAATTGTCTAATAAATAATCTCAAGTTTTAGGAAATGTACATTTAGAAAATATGCAAAAAATATATGCAAAAGAATAATTATTGTAATTAGGAATGTAGAACTCATTATCAGTTTAGTGGCCAAGTAAAAACATTAATTATTTTTCTGTTCCCAACCTTTTTTTTTTTTTTTTTAGGTGGATATAATAAGAACAGTGACCTTACCTCTGATGTCCAAATTTGGAATAGGTGAAGGTCTAGAACTGAAGGTGGGTGAAGCACATTATAATGATTTTTTTGACTGCATAAACCCTTGTTGGGTCGTCAATTTTCTGTTCCAAAGTCTTTGAATTAAGACCTTAATATTGCAGTATAAAACTAGTTTTACGGTCTCTTTATACAGTCTAAGGTGAGGGTGATGTGGGGAGGTCTTAGTGGTGTATCCAAAACAAAAATTGGAAAATTGGGTAAAAGGAGAAAGAAATTTTTTGTATATGATGTCTGTTCTTTTAAAATATTTTACTCTAAAAAAATGCAATGCCATATTATGGCTGCAATATTTATCTCTATGCTCATTATTATTGACATGAATAAAATTCTGATAATAAAACAATTACTTGGGAAGTAATCCAGTATATGAGTAGTCAGATAATTGTTCATTTTCAGATATTTCAGTCTATTTGCATGAAATGTTAATAAAGTGTTCAATTTCTCATCAGGTCACACGGCGAGGAGCAAAACCAAATGGAGGTGGAGAAGTCATTTTCAAATGTCCAGTTCGTAGGAAGCTATTACCCTTACAATTTATTAAGCCTGGTAAAATTAAAAGAATTCGTGGAGTTGCCTATGCTATGAGGGTTTCACCAGCAATGTCTAATCGCATTGTTGATGCAACTCGAGGTGTTCTCAATCAGTTTGTACCTGACATTTATATATATACAGATCATATGAAAGGGGCTCAGTCAGGAAAGTGAGTTGTACTTTGGTTTTTAATGTTCTCTTATTGATGTAGTATTCAATGTCACTAATTTTTTATTTGCATTATTGCGACCACATGCTGAGATAACTTTTATAGTTGATGGAAACAATTTATTTTTTATAAGAAGATTTATTTATTTAATTCACAAAAGAATGAACATTTCCAGAATGCTAGTCATTCAGCCGACCAATCAGAACTAGTTATTCAATAAGTGGGCCTATGGATACACTCTTTGCTTACATTTACAAGTACACTCACCCAAGTTCCTCTAAGAATGGCTGTCGGTTTGTGGGACCTAGCAACAATATCCATGGAGACAGGGCTTAGCAGTCCATTATTGTTTAAAGCACTAAATATATAGCACTTTATGGTGAACGATTTTCAGATATTGCTACAATTCATTTATATAGGTCACCTGGATTTGGACTGTCTTTAGTTGCTGAGACAACAGAAGGCAGTTTTATTAGTGCAGAGATGTCATCCAATCAACCTGGCCAGGAGCCGTCGATACCAGAGGACATTGGAAGGCAGACAGCTCAGCTGCTGCTTGAAGAAATTTACAGAGTAATTGTATATTCTTTCTTAAAAAGAACTTTTAAAATATAAAAATTTATCTTTCATAAAATAAAAAAAAAGTTGGAAAATGAAGTGCTGACTTTTATATTGTACTAAAATCATAAAAGTGTTGTATTATTATTATCATTAATCTTCTTAATCACCATTGCACTCACTAAATTTATCAATATATAATTATTATTATCATTAATCTTCTTAATCACCATTGCACTCACTAAATTTATCAATATATAATTTTAGACGGACCTTTATCTGACCTGTTGTATGCATTTACCTCTTGTGAATAGTTTTGCCAAGAATGAAGGCGTATATGATTTTGGAATGCCTGTTGCCCTTTCTAGGATTTACTTGACCGGATTAAATAGTTTTGAGAACTGATGTGTTGAGATTATGGAGATACAATACTTGAAAATAATAATTATTTGTAAGATGTGGTCATCATCAATTCTTCCTAGATTTTCTGTTGTAGTAATGATCATATTCTGTTTATCTCCTGTAAGGGTGGCTGTGTTGACTCTAGACATCAAAGCTTAGCCTTGTTATTTATGGCACTGGGACAATCGGATGTCAGCAAGATTCTGACTGGACCGCTTTCACCTTACACGTAAGTTATGCTTATTCTAAATGTGAGATTCTTTGGGCTATAAGTCTCCATTTTCATTTTTATTACAGAATACCACAATGCTCTATAAACCAAGTCTATGGGGCGTGGGTGAATTTTTTTTTAATCCGTCAATATATTATTATTTTGGCAATCATGAAACTTACCAAGCTATTCGATAAGTTGATTTACAGATTCACTGTCAATTTATAACCAGGCGGTAATGATGGGGCCAGAGGCCCTCTTGCATTCTGAGACTGGGAACCATTTTTGGATCCCGGTCAGCAATTCCTTGTGGGATTTGAGATTTGCTTGTTTCATGCTTGACATTGTATTAAATGATATGAGATCAGAGGCGGATCCAGAAATTTGATAGAGGGGAACTCAGGGAGGGACTTTTACAGATGAAGTGTCTATACTCCTCAGCCCCACCATGGTTGGGGCTGAAGTAATGACTATGGCACCTAGATGGCCAGAAATAGCACTCACAGACTTCAATATAATTTTTCTTTTATCTCCATTAAACAAAAACAGTTTAACAAATATAAAAATCCACCACTAGATATGATATACTGTATGCCCCTTCAAGGGCCCATCTTAGCGCAGATTTTGGAATCTCTTCACTTTTTATTTTTGTATTACAGAATACAGTTTTTGCGTCATTTACGCGATTTTTTTCAACTAATGTTCAAGATTGAGGCTCAGAAGCAACTGGAAGACGAGCAAATTGGTGCTGAGAAAGTCCAGTTAACATGCATTGGTATCGGATTCTCAAACTTAAGTAAAACTATCTTGTAAATTGCGATGCTAATTATTATTACTGTATTATTATTAAGTCATTGCCTCAGAATTTGAAGGCCTTGCAAGCACTGTTACTGCTTGAGGAACACCATGGCTCGGATATATGTCTTTTTGATTTTAATGACACGCAACAACAAATACGATAATGTAATAGAGAAAAAAACCCATCATAGAACACTATTTCAAAGTGTCATTCCCAAGACCAACCTATACTAAAAGGTTTAAATTATGTACAGTACAATTCAGGAGATATTTCTGTAAAGGTGAAGATCCAATTATAAATTAAAATTTTGTTAAACACCTTTTCTGCATGTCTTTTTTTTTGTTTTACTTGGGCACTGCGAGATGGTACAGCTATGTTGGATATGCTTTAATTTAACACAACCATTATTTGCAGACAGTAGTATATTCTTTAAGGAATAATCCAGATTTCTGAAAACTACTACTTATGCTGTTTTCGAGATGCATTATAACAAATACTGTACTTATAAAACAATTCCCTGGTATTATATATGCCATACTGTAGGCCTATTTTACATTACTGCATTACTACTACAAAGACTGTATTTTCCCAAAAAGTGGTCAACAGAATGATCATACACAGACTAGAATGACCAGAGAAATAAGCAACAGTGAAATGAAATAATGCAAGACTTAAAGAATATATATAGGTATATAAATAAATGTTGGCTGTATATGCAGCAACATTTCATCTTTTAATCAACATGAGGATTCTACTGTAATATACAACGTATCAATGCATTATTTCTTTCGTATAACTTTCCATTTATCTGTCAGAGATTGTTATGGAATAAACAGTGAATTATGTTGTACGACAGAACTATGCAATATTACAAACATCATTAAAACTCCAAAACCAAGTCTTACTTTAGTTGCTTCAAATAAATCTTTAGCTGCCTTTTCTGCCTCTGCTACATCATTACCAATATAAATATTATCAAAAATTGTTCCAGATTTCACCTAAGAAAATAAAACAAAAATACTTATTTTTCATGGAAGTGTTAACAAGAATTGGAAATCAAACAAAAACATGTTATATTCAGATGTATATGTATACATTTCATATATGGTAAAACATTGTCAATGAAAAAAAAATAGGTGCTTTATATTCTCCAGGACTGAAAAAAGTTTTCATCGACTACGTTTTACATTTCACATTCAGATTATACTACAGTACAATTATTGCGCATTTATCCTCAAAGGCTTGTGCCATACAATGTTAATCTAATAGACACTGCCCACATACCTGCCATAAATCAAAGCCTATTGCAGCTAAATCTTCTTGTTTATATAATTCATCATCAGCTTCATATTCTGGGTTATCAATTTCTGGATGAATCCATTTTCCTTTGTAGTCTGGGTTATCAATCTGCTTTGGTTTCCATTCTCCCTAAAAAATAAATTAAATTATTTAATAAAATAAATATATCGATAGCAATATTACAACAACAAAATAAATATAATTAATATAACAATAATAGCAGCAATAATACAAACATGATCATCTGATTTGATAAAAGAACTATAAAACATCTTAATAACAATTGCTTTTTATCAAGTTCTGTCTTGTCATATTTCAACTAATCACCATGGCGATTGTCTGCCCCGAAAAATGGTTGAGTAAGTTGGTTTTCATTATTCAATAATATGCTTGAAAATATGTTGATTTATTGATTTAAAATTTTTTTTTCTTGGAAAATGTTTAAATGTAATTGTAAGTGTTTATACCATGAGAAAAGGAATTGTACCCACTTTACAGACACAATGTGTTCATTAGAGAGTTTGTAACTGTGAGATGACACTGGGTTCTGCTGTTCAGTAATAATTAATTATATGTTCTACATCTACCTTGTATTCTGGATTATTGATTTGTGGTGGTTCCCATTCTCCATCCATTTCATCATCCCAATCCTCCTGCTTCTCTGCCTCTGGATCAGGGATAAATTCTGGTTTATCCCAATCCTGGAAAAAAAAAAACCACAAAAAAACATAAAAACACATTATAAATTTGTTATCAGTTTGTAATTATTTTGCCAGTGTAGACAATAAGTTTCTTTTATTTCTTCAGACAACTGTCCTCTGTATAAATTTCCATAACAATTTTGTATTTCTGCTCTCAAACCCTTAAAACAAATTTGAGGCAGGGACTGATGAATCACAGTTTAACAGTATCAAGTACAGAGTATTATAATGGTAGGGCTGGAAAATGTGTGTGATCAGAGATCACATGCATAAAAAAGTTTCCAGAATCATTCTTTCAGAAAAATATATTCTCCACGTCATTACTGGGCTAATAATAGCAACAATAATAAAAACATCACTTGGTTTTAAAAAAAAGAACAATGAACCATCTTAATAACAATTGCTTATTATCAAGTTCTGTCTTGTCAGATTCCAACTATCACCATGGTGATTGTCTGCCCCGAAAGATGGTTGAGTAAGTTGGTTTTCATCATTCAAAGTAATACTTGAAAATATTTTTATAGCAAGAGGGTGCTATCACAAAACAAATGTGTGGCAGGGAGAAAAAATTCATAACCATTACTTTACTATAATTGTAAAGATAATGTTTGATGCTGGAGGGATTTCATACTTTTGTAAGCTGTTGCCTCCACAGTAGAATTCATACCTCTGGTTTTGTGTCTTCGGGGTCATCAATTTTCTCTCTCTCATCCCAATCATCAGGTTTAGATGCTTCAGGATCTTTGATCTTCTTGGGAGGAAGGAAGTCCCAATCATCTTCTAGGCCACCTGATTCTACCTTCTTATTATCAATGCGAACTTCATATGTGTTGTCTGGCTTGACTATAAGTGTGTATAAATGTGTAAATTCATCATCCTGGGGAAAAAATATATAAATCAAATCATTCATACTTGTAGTGTCATTTATAACCAGTTATAAAATTCATTTCTAAATTTCTGATAATTATAAACATTTATAAAACATTAATAACAAAAATAATAAAATTATTAATACATTAAAAACAATAATCGAAATAATAACAATAACATACATAAAAATATCAACCACCAATAACTATAATAAATAATAATTTACACTTTCTGTAAAAAATACTAACTATAATAATAATAGTAATATGAACAATAAAAAAATAATAAAAATAAATAATAATTTACATTTTTTGTGTACCAAAGAAGGGCAATGAACCTACCTTGCACCTAATATCTTTTTTTGTTAATAAATTCTTTCCTTTATAATTGAAGATGACATGAACTTTTTTTGTTCCTGGTCCACAAATATCTGGACCTGTAAAGAGATAAAAGTAAATAATTATTAAATCATGTATGTAATTAAGACTGGTATTTGGCACTTGAAAACATACAGACTGGAAAAAATCAATGCTCATTTTAATGGATCACACCAGTCAATTTGAGGGTCTATGCAAAAAAAAAAGCATTATTTTAATGTCTGTTAAATTGCAAGGGTGATTTCCTGTTCTCACTTTCAATTAAAAGTAAAGTACATAAAATAAGCAATTAAAATGTTCATACATTTCACCGAAATAAATAAGACAATAATATTTGCAGTTACAAATCTTACCAAACATAATGGCATATTGAGAATCGCCATGCATATCCTTCTGGTCAAGAGATGATGGGAAAATCTTCACATATCCACCGCCACAATCTATTTTTTGTTCATGTTTGACTGTAAACTGGATTATAAGGTCTTTACCTTCTGTGCTTACTTTATCAAAAGCTGCTGAAATACCATAAAATCTGGCATCTTGGCTTGTTTGTATACCTACAAAAAAAACCCCAAAAAACAATTTGGCTCTGTAAATAAAATACTTCATGGTAAACAAATTGCTGTTCAGAATAATTCATCTGATTGTCAGATTCCAACTATCACCATGGTGATTGTCTGCCCCGAAAGATGGTTGAGTAAGTTGGTTCTCATCATTTACTGAACAAAAAAAGATAAGATATATATTCATCATATGAATTATTTACTGATACTAAAATTAATCCAGCAGACTTCTTGTCTAAACCCATGAATTAATAATTGAATAATATTATAATATTATAATGTTTATATTATTATGTTAAACTGCTGAAGAAGACAAGCTGCCAGATGGAAGAAATCTGTAACAACAAGTTTGCAAGATAAGTAGCATTATTATAAAAACTCCTTTTATAATAATTATTTTAAAATAAAGTATGAAATAATAAATACTGTAGCAATATTCATCCAGATTTATACAGAGATTTATAAAAAAAAAAGTAACATACTATCATCACATCGGTACATTCTGTTCTGTGTGCTGTTGTGTACAGTAGGTTTTCATTGAAAAGACCATTTATTGGTTAAAGTAATTTAAATAAAATTGATTAATTTATTGATTAATTGCCATTCAAAAACTTGCACCAAGGTAAAATGCATATTGTTATTACCTTTATCTTTTTCAGCATCATTATAAAATTTTCCAGCTGACAACTTCCATTTCCCTTGTTCACTCCCTCTGTGTGTTGACTCTACCCACCTGCCTTCCCATCCATCTGAATATCAATACAAATTATAAATGAATTTAGTATACAATTACTGTATATGCAAATTGATTATAACAGCAGATGGGGTTCTGTAAAGTTGTTTGCAGTCAGGGCAGGTAGTTCCAGATGGAAGAATAAAGGTTTCAGCAACATACAGCGCACAATCCTATTCTGAGACTCCTCTTTAGTTCAACAGCAGATGGGGTTTTAAAGCTGTTTGCAGTCAGGACAGATAGTTCCAAATGGAAGAATAAAGTTTCAGCAACATACGCGCACAATCCTATTCCGAGCCCCTCTTTAGTTCAAGTCCAATTTTATAAGAAAAAGAAGTGGTTAGAATGTCTGATCAATGCCAGACTGTAAGACAGGACTTAGAATCCATCCACATCCATAAATTTTAAAAATATGGGCAGATTTCTGAACAAGCCTTAAGAGCTAATATCTTAATCAACCAATACTGTATGATTCTGCCAACTTATTTTCGAGTCCAATTTTATAAGAAACTGGAATGTCTGAAAAACATTAGATAGCAATCACAATATCAATGCCAGACTGCAAAATAGGACTTTTCTAACAAATTCTGCAGAAAATCAGGCCTTATATTAGCCCAACGTATTATGCAATACCGTATGATTCTGCCCACTTTTTTTTCTAGCAAATTGAGTTTTTTTTAATGTAGTGTCCCTTGCCAGACTGCAAGGCCTACTCGGGAAATATATACTCCACACAAAAATTAGGCCCAAGAATCCGTCCGTGTATTTTGGAAAAATGGGCTGATTTCCATGCAGATTTTGCCGAAAATTAGGTTTCAACCTTATCTTAATTGACTAGATTTTTTTGCGCAAATTTGAGCTAAGTTTTTTATGTATCATTTGCGCAATCAAAATACTTTTAAAATTCAATTTTTTAAACTTCAATTTTTTATGATAAAAAATTGCAATAAAGCTTCTCGTATTTGTACTTTACAGTATGGATACCTTGCACAAAAAAACACTTTACAGTGTGGCATCACTGTGTTTTTTTCCATTGCAAATTAATATTTGATGCCGATTGGGGATAGGCCTATATAATTTTCATTATGGATTTGTTATTCTAAACAACTTTGAGGTGATGACTGGCAAAGCTGGCTTGACCCAACCTTAAACTATCTATCTTATTCTTAACTTAAGCATTAGGCCTATCATCATCAGTATCAACATCATATGACACAATTATTAGCAACCCAACAACAATATTTATAATAATGACATTTCCTATAATATCTGCCTAGGCCTAGTTAAGCCTATCATCACACTACTACTACTGATGTAGGGCTACGCCTAGGCCCTGTGTAGGCTAGAGCGGCATGCTTCAGTACTTCAGCCATCAGACACACAAACCCACCACCACCGCTGAAACTCTTCTATCTTTTCTTGGCTACCCTAGCCTAGCCCACCCGGCCTCTGCAGCCTTCCTTTTCCTAACCAGGTCCGGGTAATAAAAGAATGAGTCTGAATGAACTAGCCCATAGTATTACCTACCTCCAAATTGCTCCTCGAAATATACAGTTGCGTTACAGATTACTGCACTAACTGCAGCTATTAGAAACAACGAAAACTTCATGTTTGTGAGTGAATTAAACTGAAATGAATGGTCACTCCTGCTTCATTCAGAAGTTAAAACACGAACATAGCAATTTCCACGTGAAAACACCGACAGATGGCCTTCGCTGATTGGTTCGAAACCACAAGTGACGAAGTTTTGTCCAATCAACACTAACCACGCAAAAGGATGCGGTATGATCGCCCTCACTTGGTAGTATTTCACGTTCCGAAAACATTAGACTCCATCCAGCACATTTTGTCTTTAGAAGAAAATTAATTTGAAGAGGCTACGAAGCTGGTGTAGAGAGTCTCACCTCTTTTTCGCGCAGTAGACGGAGAGATGAAAGATTGTTAGTAAACAGTCACACGTGAAGAAAGAAGGAAGCTTTGTAAGTATTTTTTCTTGTATTTACTAATGGACTAAGTATCTGAGACTAAAAAGGTTTATATTTACGAGTTATAAGTGTTGAATACTGCGGATGTTGTATCTGTGGTTACTGTTCTACATTTAAAAATTCCATTAAATCATCGTGCTTGCGCTTCTAAGCCTACCTTACCTGCTGCCATAGGCCTACATAGCCAGCATAAAGAATCAACAACGTCAACGGTGTTCCACCGTTCGGCTGACGTGACAAGTCATGCTCTATCAGCATGGGAAGGTGGGCCATGAGGCTCATAACCTTTTAGTCAACCTCGTTGTCGGCAAAGGCCAATCCACTGATGCGCACTGCCCGTGTAAATCTGGGTATCCATCACCAAGCATAGACATCTAGGCCTAGACTCGCGTATGTTTCGCGTTGAAAACCAGCTGTCTCATGAAATTAAAGATGGTTTAAATAAGCACCCCATTTGAATAAGTGCCCCTCAGAAATTATTTTAAGCGCCCCAGGCGCTTATTCGCGCGAGTATGTTACCAGATGATAAGCGTGGAAGTATGAAGTCAGACAATACTAACAATACAACTTACAACTGTATGTACTGTAATTCTGAATTTTCAAGGTTATATCAAAGAGTATAGATAAAACAAGAGAGCAAAGTCCCATTCGTAAAAACCTGTAGGACCTGTGTAGGACGCCCACTAACGGTTGTATGTTCTTTTTATTACCCAGTGCAGCGCTGCGCAGCGCGGTAGAAGTACGCCCGCTATAAACTCAGTAAGCAGAAAACAAAAGTACCGTATCTTGTGGAGAACAGATAAACAGACAAACCGACTGTGCGCGGTGGAGTACTGGGTAATAAAAAACATACAAGCGTTAGTTGGCGTCCTACACTAGCTGCGTAGGGAGTATTGTTTTTTTACGCTCTCAATGAGCGTTGTTGGCTCTCTTGTTCTATTTATACCCTTTGGTTATATGCAGTTCTTAAAATGGAAAACTCTCTGTCAATAGTAATGGCGGTCTAAACTATGCCTTTCAAAGGATTGCCCAAGTTTATTGTTGGTAATATTACTGTATATTATTACTGTAGTTTAAAGATGTATTGTCCCATGCTAAATACCAAAAAAATCATAAAAATATTTTTTGAAATTAACTTGCCCATTTTGAAGTAACATAAAAGTTTGAACATAGAAATTAGTGTATTTAAAAAATGTTTACCCATCAGTTTTTACTGGAAGTGTTTTATTATTTTTATTATGATTTTTTGGTTTAAAAATCAGGGTACACATTTTTTAAATTCAATAATTTTTATGCACAGGTTAATAATTTGTATTCTATTGCAATAGGAGCAAGTTTATTTCAAAATAATTTTTTATGATTTTTTGACATTAGCAAGGAACAATACATCTTTAACGTCAGTGGTATCTTCTACAAGAATAAGTTTTTGTCAGCGAGGCACAAGATGCTATTGGATTTGGAGGAATACAGGACTGTAGGTGTACACCATTTTCGCAAAATTTAAAATGAACATTTTTTTTTCTTTTTATTTATTCAACATTTCACCCAAAGGTACCTCACAAGGCAATGTCAAGCCTTAGTAACGAGGTACCTCACAAGGCAATGTCAAGCCTTGGTAACGAGGTACCTCACAAGGCAATGTCAAGCCTTAGTAACGAGGTACCTCTGAAAACATAATACAAATAAAAAGTACAGTGGCACTTGACACAAAAAGGAAAAGTTAAAATTGTATAGATACACTTTCTGACAAATAAAAAATCAATCTAAACCTGATGAGCTCTTTGAATGAAACTAGTCAACAAAAATTTCACAATAAATATTCTAAAGTTTATTATCATTAAATTTAAGGTCAATATATAGAACAATAATTTACTGAAATACGATATTGAATTTTTAAATGAACATTTCCAAGAACCTGGCAACTACCACTGATAGACTACCACAGGCCTAGCATTTCGCTCTACGTATTTGCCATCATGGATTAATTAAACGATAAAATTACTAATGAGCACAAATATTTTATAACAGAGAAAGAACGAAACTGAAACATTAATAGCAAAAACAAGTCTAAGTCTTAAAAAGCTATTTTCAGTGTTTACTACAGTAATTTGCAAAAGATCAAATCTGTTTTCTGTTGCTGTTATAGCAAAGGTCTAGCGGCGTTATCCGCTGGGCTGTGCTCTATTTGTAACTAGCCAGCTGCTCACGCTACTGTAGGCCGTTGGAAGTTCCCCTGTGAAAAGTTGTGAGACGTTGGCGGCGCTGTTTCATAGTACTCATCTCCAGGCTATTTCACATAAACCTGTAAAATACAGACCTGTCCTGAAGATGAGCATGATATTTGACCTTGTTTTCACTTTGAATAAATCCTCAATTAAGAACTATGACATATAAGCTTAATACCTGGAATTCATTTTCTGTGTTTTTGTCCATAATTCAGACATTTATTTTGAGGAGTAAATTGATTTGTTTTCTTCACTCCATAATGACCTACACTTGGTTTCTGAAAGGTAAAAATATTTGTCTAAATACAACTTTCAGTGTTGTAAATTGTGGGAGTGACACGCTTATGTTTGTTTTACTTTATTAGCTCCATGGTTCAGGTATCTTTTGGGGCTTATCTCTTCTGGCCATTTGTTTTCTTTTCTTGTTGGATCAAGGTCCATTGTATGTATCTATGCTCAGAGGTAGGTTGTAATCATCTAGGCACTAGCCCATTGGTAGGTTGTAATTATCTAGACACTAGCTCACAGGTAGGTTGTACCAGTTGTACTTTTAACTGACAGGCATTCTCATTAGTACTAAGTGAGTTGGTATTTGGCATTTTTTTTCTCAATCAACTAAATTTCATTACAGTTCCAAAGATATTTTAAGAGAGTTCTGCATTTTGTCAGCAGATCTTAAGAAGAGCATTAAAAACTAATGCAAAAAAAATACCATTTGATTTGTCAGGTTAGTTGGGCTAATCCATAAAGGTTAAACCTACAGTATGAGCTATGCATACAGTAATCAACTCCCTGGCATACTTGAGTAACGTTTTGTTATTTTATATTAAGAAACAAAAACCGAGAGCTACAGTACAGTAATAACAGTATTGATAATAACAGGTTTTTATTTATTTATTTGGTGATTCATTAAACATTAAGAAAGCAAAAAGTGGCTGAGACTTGATTTTATTATCACAAGCTTTCATATTTGATGATGCTTGTGATATTTAGAGTACAACCAGTTTTAGTCTCTAACAAAAATTTCATATTTGTGCCTTTAAGCTGATAATGGGAAATCAGTTTACTCTAGGGGACAGCTCTTTTGGGGAAGTTGCCTTCATAATGTAAGAACTACTGTATCAGTTTTAGTCTCTAACAAAAATTTCATATTTGTGCCTTTAAGCTGATAATGGGAATTATCAGGGTGAAAGCTCTTTGGGTGTGGGGAGTGCATGACTGTGGAAGCTGTCTGGTGAAACCTGTAAAACGCTGTCTGTTGGGATCCTGTTTATGTGAAAGCTGTCGGTGGCAGCATGTGAGATTAGGAAACCTGTCTGGTAAAGAAATAAAACAATTTTCCACTTTTATAGTATAGGCCTACCATAATCACTGGATCTATCTGCTACAGTGTAAATACTGGTGGTACAGTACAATAAAACATAGAATTCAACAAGTGCTGGTATGTACCTAGTGAGAAAAGTGACACTGACACAAATTCTATATTTTTGTGAGGGTTACCTTAAAAACTATAAACCTGATTTCAGAAAAAGGGCCCTTAGAGTGGGTCTTTATAGAATGGGCTCTCAAAAATACATAGAAATTATGTTGTCTATAAAAATCATGATTTGAGGGGGAAAAAAATATGGAATCTACATATAGGTTAAGCTATTTTAATACTACAGTGTAATAGTGTAAAGTGTACTTGATTTATTTATTGTACTGTATTTATTGTAACCTAAGTTATTTAAGCATTTTTTCTTTGTAAATAGTATAAACTGAATTAGTTTTTAAAGTTGTTAATGACAATTTAAAAAACTATGAACTGGTCAAACACTCTCAAAGATCTACGGGAAATAAATATTTTTTCTTTCACATACTGTAGTCTCATATACGCCTACAGAAATCAGCTTACATGCAGAAACAATTACACAGCAGTTAGTCAACCATATCCTTCCCCTGGCGAACCATTTGGCAACTTAGTGGAATGTCAGTAAAGTACTGTTAGTACCAAAGGATATAAGGATTATGTGTATATATATATATGGTACACTGTTGACAATAGAGTCAATATTTGTTTGTATCCTGTAGAAATGGTTGACATATTCTGACCTTCCAACCCGTAGACCTAAAAAATTGGGAGACGGGAGAATTTGCAGGTGAAGTCTGTCTTTGGATTCATACATTTTTAAGATTGTGATTTAAACTGGGGTTTTTAACATCTGTCTCTTATACACATCTAGATGTGTATAAGAGACAGGCCTAGGCCTATGCTACAAAGTACAGGGCTAGGTAGGCCTAAGCCTTGTCATGGGAGCAAAATTTTGTCACAAAAAATGATGTGGATTTTACTGTTTTCTGCAACAAAATAATACTTTACAGAAGCCAAAACCTGTGCTCAATGTGAAGTATTCATATGAAGTGATTTCCGAATGAAAACATGACCAAATAATTGCCAAAAAGGGTGTTATTATTATCCTTATAAAGCTCACCAATCTATGCAACTAGTGGCTCCGATGAACAAAAAGTGAGATTTACTGTATAGTATGCCTGAACAAGCATGCACAGCTAAAGATGTGTTTATTATAGTACATATATGGTACACAGTTATTTGACATGTGAAGTGTAAATCTCATTTCATGTTTTGTGGCTAAAAACAAGGAAGAATGGAAGAAATTAAGTTTTATTCTTTGTTGTCTCAATCTTGACACTTTAAAACAAAATTGCTTTAAAACAACCAATAATTCTGTAGGATTATTTCATAAGTATTTTCTTTTGTTCAGATTTATATATATTAAACTTTATTAAAATATTTTTGGAAAAAATGAAAACTAAGTTATTTTTTATTTTCTATTTTTAGTACTGACAATACAACTAATTATAATGAATAGAGTTAAAATTTAATTTAATAATTTTAAATGTAGATTGAAATTTGTTTGTGTATTATTTGCATGATGTATATGATAAATAAACATTCACGTTCATGTTGTTACTATATCCTTGACAATGCCAGACCTATATTGTCTAAGCACCATATGTTGCCTTATACAGTTTAAAGGGATGTCTCATTAAAGGGGAAGTTATAGACTTGTTTAATATAAATACCCTTTCATTGTATAAAACTCCATGAAAAAAGACAGCAAACTGAATTAATTACTATATGTCATACCTTTTTCCACTTTTTCATTTGAACTTAATTTGATTGGTTTTGGTGTAAATAGGATTTTTATGAAAGTGTGTACAGTGAGTTTACGGCATATAAGCTGTAGAAATATGCTGGCTTTAAATGTTGCTAAAAATATAAATAATTGCTGTTTTTATTTCAGCCTGAGTTTTTCCAAGTGACATCCCAAAGGAATCATGATGGCTCAGAAGAACAAGAAGGAGGGTGTGGAGCGGTTCCAAGGTATTGGAATAGACTTCAAGGCTAAAATGATTGGCATTGAGAAAGTAGATGATGCAAGAGGGGACAGAATGTGTCAGGAAGCTATGATGAAACTCAAGGTACAGTATTATTGAAGCCAAGTTGCCTGATAAGTTTCATTACTAATAATAATGTAAATAAATTTATTATAAAAAAGTAAAATCACACGTCTAGAAAATTGAGTAAAGTTGGTTTTGCAATATTTTTTAGGCAATGGTGAAGGCATCTGGGGAACATAAGCAACGTGTTAATATAAATATCTCAATAGAAGGCTTGAAGATTATAGATGAAAAAACTGGAGTAAGTAATAATTAGTCATCAGCTTCTCGTACTGATTGTGTTGGAAGTCAGTTCTGAAAATAAATAGTCGTACATGTGAATCCAGCAGTCAGAAACATGCCCATCACCAGAGTTTCTTGAGGGAGGTTTTCTATACTGGAGCGGATTCAAAAATGGGAACTCATTTTTGAAAATGATCATCATCATCATCCTCATCATCATCATTTTCATCATCATCCTCTTCAATATCCTCATTATTGTCATCACTGTGATGGTAATCACAACAATGAATAGGAGTGTCGCAGGTATAATATTAACAACTTTCAAGTTACACATTAGTATTGATAGTAGTATTTATTATATTTGTCCCTAATTTCTAATAGAATTTTTCTCCATAAAAGCTACTATCAGTTTAAAGTAGTTTACTGGCAGTATTCAGTGCATTTTACAGTACACAATACCTTGATTGATATCAGTAATATATCTACTTATTCCTGGCATCTAATTTGTTACATGGATATTTTTTTCCAGTGCATAAACCACCATCATGAGGTTCACAAGATATCATTTATCTCCAGAGATCCAGCTGACAACAGAGCGTTTGGTTATATTCATGGAGACGCTAACAATCACCAGTTCTTTGGAATTAAAACGGAGAAAGCTGTAAGTAGGCTGTAAGCAAGCACACACTGTGCCAATGGTGTCCACAGACTCGATGCAATGCAATGTGATGGGTGCACGCCATTTATTGGTTTATTGATGATCTGCTCAAATTAGCAGACGGCATCACATCATCAAGTGCTTATAGAGGTCGAAAATGGCTCGTTGGCCAAGTCAGGGTGTGCCTAGATTTACTATACTAGTTAATGTGTTTGGTTTGTTTTTTTTTTTGTTTTTTTTTTAGAATCTGAGTTTATATAATTATATTATATTTGCTTGCTTATTGTTATTTGTTTGTTTAGTGTTCATTGGTTTATTTTCTTTAAACCTTAATCATATCGTAATGCTGCCCTCACAGCATTAATGATGGTCCTCAGACATAAAACAATTATGTTAGAATCAGTAAACAAGACAATAAATAGTTATTAGCAGTTCAAACCTCGGGAGAATTAAATTTATATTTTTGTATTCTATTTGTATCCTTAGTGTAAAGCGCCTTTGAACATGAGTAAAAATGGCGCTATAGAAATTTGGTAAATAAATAAATAAACTTAATACTGTGGTATCTGCCACTATTCTTCAATTATATTGTATTGAAGAAAAACATTAAAATCAAAACAGAAACTAAATGGTAAAGGAAGAATAACCCATAGCTTAAAGCGTCATTGTGATGAATTGCGTATGGGCATTGTCCATGACTACATAGCAGCCGTAAAGAGGTGCTTATTCATCTGCTAATCCAAATCTGACTGATCTTGCACTGTCTTTGTTAAAGGTTCAGAATTGTAATTAGGAAATCCAAACATGGCTTACTCCAAATTCATTAAAGCTAAATGAATCTAAGACCGAGTTTATGGTTGTTGGCTCCCAGCGTAACCTCAATAAAGTGGGGCACCATGAATTAGTTGTTGGTGATATTGCCATACAGCCCTCTCGAACTTGCAGAAACTTGGGTAGATGGTAGATCATGTCAGTGCACTATGTCGAGCTTGTCACCTGCACGTCCGAAATATTGGAAGAATTCGCAAGAATATTAATACTTCTGTCACTGAAATCCTCATCAGTTCATTTACTACATCAAGGTTAGACTTCTGTAACTCGGTTCTTTTTGGCTTCTCGGAATCTCTCACAGACAAGCTGCAACGTATTCAAAATACCACTGCTAGACTTTTTGCTCGAACACAAAACATGATCATATCACTCCTGTGCTCAAAAGCCTTCATTGGTTACCTATCCATCACATGTCGAAATATAAGATTCAGCTCCTTGTTTATAAGGCACTCGTGCATGGTTCTCCCGATTATCTTGCTCACATTCTCAATCCTCACCAGGCTGTGCGGCAAGGTCTTAGGTCCGCTGATAAGTGCCTCTTATCTACTCCTATGTGTAAGATCCTTTGGGGTGCTCGCTCATTTTCTGTGGCTGGCCACTCTTGCTGGAATGAAATCCCACTTATGACTCGTACTTCTGAATCGGTTGGGCATTTCAACTTAAAACTTTCTCACTTTTATTAGTTCTTGTTTTTTGTTTTCTTCTTTGTCCATTGTCCTTTTTTTGTTGGGATTATATGCATCGTAATTTTTTAGGCTGCGGTGTCGCAAGCATCTCCATATCATGTGCCCTATAAATCATAAATCTCTGATTGATTGATAGTAGCTACATGTTCACATCATTCCACAACGACAGGGGTTGAAATGAACCATGACATTGGGGTAACCTCTACTTTTCCGAAAAATGTGCAATGGGTTCTTTAAAGTGCACAAAAGCCAGATGTATACACTGGACCGCCATTATAAGTCATTATCTGAGAAGACTTGATTCTAGCGGGCCTTTGCCTTACCGCTCATCCACTCGACTGCTGCCATTAATATGATTGTGTAATGTAACATTAATGTCATGTTTAAATTTGTTTTCTTAAGGCTGAAAATGTGGTCCTGGCACTGAAAGACTTGTTTCAAGTTGTGCTGGAACTGAAAACAAAACAGATAGAAGACCAAAAAATAGCAGCACAACAGACAACATTGCATCTCAAACCAAGTTATGATGACACTTTATATGAGGTAACTAATTCACCAAATTTACTAATTTGCATATTTTACAATTTTTATTGATTTAATGTTTCTTTGTCTCTGTGCTGTGTGGGTGTGAGTTGTCTTTTCTGTAAAAAACACTGAAATACAATTAACAGATTTAATACCATGCAATTTTTCTCGTTATATTTCTACAAATTTAAAGGTACCAATTGGACAAGAGAAAGCTGCTGTAAGTGAAAATAGTGTGGCAGTCTCCGAAGCTCCTTCTGCAACCTCAGAGACTCCAGAGGATGTGAATGCATTGTATGCTGTCCCCAACAAAGGGCATACACCAGAATCCAGCAACCTTCTAGATTTGGCAGCAGAAGTAAAGACATTGCAATTGGTAATCAGAGTTTACTCTGTTGACATTTCCTTTTTTTTTTTCTTTTTTCATATCATTTATTTTACCATTTCAAATTTATAAAACCAACATCCAGGGTTCGTACACGTCCTTGAATTCTTTGAATGTCCTGGAAAAACAAATGAGCATTTTCCAGTACTGGAGAGTCCTGGAAATTTGATCATTTACCATATACCCAGTACTGCAAGTTGTCTAGTAACAGTAAATTAAATGAGAATGTTCCCAAAAGTATGTTCCCATGATACTCTGGAGAGAAGCATGTGAAGTCTTTATACGCTGCCAATTCAGGAATGTTATCGAAGACAGAAAGAATGTCAAGTGCTGAAAATGGCCCACTGGCTGGTCCAGACAAACTTGTGCGATTCAGCGAATGGAGTTTTTCGCCTATATTTTAGTAAAGCGGTGTTTTCTTAATCTTGTGTATTAATTATGGTTGCGTGTAATTTTAATTCAGACATTAATAATTATAATCATTATCTTTGTTGATATCTGCTACGGTGTTTATATTTGCTTTCTGTTGTGTGTTATAAACATAGGACTAATATTAAACTTAATCTTTCAATCACTTGAACAGGTCTTGTCACACATCCTCAGCCTGGTGAATTCGCTTTGGGTAATTCATTGCTCTCCAGACATGCACACTTGTTCTGCACGAATGGGCATGTTTTTGCCCTCTCCAGTGGAAAGCAATTACAGTAACATCTCCCAATTATGTACCCCTCCGTTGGAACAGAGTTCGTAATTGAGAAAATTCATAATTCAGAGAGTTCAAATCTTCATAGCATAGCGTAAGTAGGCCTAGGCCTATGCTACAAAGTACAGGGCTAGGTAGGCCTAAGCCTTGTCATGGGAGCAAAATTTTGTCACAAAAAATGATGTGGATTTTACTGTTTTCTGCAACAAAATAATACTTTACAGAAGCCAAAACCTGTGCTCAATGTGAAGTATTCATATGAAGTGATTTCCGAATGAAAACATGACCAAATAATTGCCAAAAAAGGTGTTATTATTATCCTTATAAAGCTCACCAATCTATGCAACTAGTGGCTCCGATGAACAAAAAGTGAGATTTACTGTATAGTATGCCTGAACAAGCATGCACAGCTAAAATGTACTTATAATATATCTCGGCTGAAAGCAATTGATATTTCGTGCTTTAAACTTAGATTTATGTCACTTTATTGGCTTAAATGTTTTCTTGTAGCTGATATAATATTTTATTATTTTTGAAGACTTTTAAATACAGTTTTAAGTGTTTATGTAGTTAAAAACGATTGTTTGTAATGACGTCATGTTGCAAATTGAGTCCGTAAAATCAAGAGTTCTTAATTGGGAGATGTTACTGTAACAATTAACGTAACCATGAGAACGTGTACTTCTACAGTTATTTTCTTAATGAATGGCATTTGTGTAAAAAAGGGCTTTTACAGTTAAAAGTTCTTGATTTTACAGCGAGGTATTTCGTTAATTATGATTCTGAAGTTTACGAAATCATTGTGCCGGCCATTTGCTGTATAGTGGATTATGAAATTTGTAATCTACATACTTCTAAAAACTTATTTCCAGTGGGTTCCATCCAGTGGTGACAGTCCCCTTGCTCTTTTCTAAAGATTTTCCAAGGACCAACAGCTTTAATGTTAATGTTTAAATCTGTGTGCTCTACATTTAGCCCTCCAGCTAAAAGGCAGTAGAAGATATTTTAAGGAACCAAAGTAAATTTCATTGTATGTGTATCTTTTACATGACAAATAAAATTTATTGAGTATTGAATACCTTTTTATGTACAAAGATTTTATATATATTCTGATTATTGTTTTATTTAAGAAATGTAGAGAGATTTTTTTTTTAATGTAATTGTCAGAACTCGTCAGTCTCATGGATAAGCAATATAATATTGTTTAATGTTTTCAGTGAATGTCAAATTATGTTTTCTGAAATGAAAAACTTCTGTTATTATGAAATTGAATTTTGAAATAATTTGTACATACAAGGTTAATGTTTTTACCAGAAACTCAACTAAAAAAGTTATTTCCTTAAGTTGCCTGACAACATTTTTTTTAAATTTCCTATGAATGGATCGTCTTCCAATTGTTTCCTGTAGGGTATACATGACATGGATCAATTCTCTTTTGATCCTGTACAAGAGGGTAGTGCAACCCAGATCCAATCACCAAATTCTTCCGGTACTAAGTCACCAAACCCATTTCAGGTGTCAAATTCTTGGAACACATTCGACTCAACCAACAGTCAACAGAGCAAGCCAACCACAAACTTTGGCACAGCTTTTGGTGACCCATTTGTTGTTCCAACCGTAAGTTATGTTTTATAATTTAAAATTACAACATGAATCATGTTATAACTCTATGGTTGCCTTTAGATTCTGTGAAGTTGTGAATTATATTTTTATGTAATTGATATTTTATTTTTTTCATGTGATTTCTGTCTTTGGATTCATACATTTTTAAGATTGTGATTTAAACTGGGGTTTTTAACATTGCCCCTGGGCTTAAGAAAGGAATATTTACTACACATGACAAGATTTTTTTATGGGCTATTGAATTTGTGATAAATAGTTAATATTAATTTTAATAGTAACTATTAAAAAAATATATAAAATATATTATGTAATTTAATAATTTTATAAATTTAGTCTCAATTTTTTCGATAATCTATGTATTAATTCTGCTAATCACCTCCGCGTAACTTCAAGTTCACCCATCTCCTCTGAAACTGCTGGCAGGAATGTGCTCATCTTACGTATCTATATATGTCACAAACATGATAGGATACTTTTCTAGGCTGTATATTGGATGACAACGAAAAAACAGCAAAAAACACCCAAAATGAGTACTTTGCGGCCATATTTCGCAAGTTGTTTACGTCACATAACAACTACAACTTCCAATCACTTTTGTGCCGTAGTGTTTCGCATCAACAAAATATTGTGCCAGGACACCAAATAAACAGTCTTATCAACTCGGGCCATGCTTTGCAAGTTTTTTACATCACCATCCCTACAATTTTGTACTGCAGTGCTCAAATTTTCGTCTACCTACTAGCCTATAATAGGCTGGCCTATAAATAGGCCCCCTACCTTTCTTTCAAATTCCTACAATAACACAAGCGACAGCAAACACTGTAAAAAGATATGTTAAACAGAATCGATTTTTATATAAAACTACAGTTACTATTCGCAGATAGTTCGATATTCTGAAGATGAACTCCAGACTGTACAGTAAGGTCTGTGCGGGGAATATATAATAAGTTGGACTAGAAATCATTTCATTTCAGGAAAATAAGGGCCAATTTCCGCGCAGATTTTGCTGAAAATTAGGCTTTGACCAAGTCTGAATATACTGTGTAACCAATGCAATTATGTAACAATTACGATTCCGTGCACCTGATTTCCTGATGATTTTTGAGATATCAATTGCAATTTAAAAACTTTACAGTATGGGATAAGCTATTAAAGAATGTGATGATTTTGGAAAATTAGGTTTTGTTAAATTAAATTTTACGCTATTTTAATCCTACTACTGGGATGAGAAATGTGTGTTTTCCATAGCCTTCAACACCCGAGGGCGAAACGACCCACACCTATTCTTTTCTAATAAAAGGCTATAAATTGTTCATGGGGTTGTGTTAAGATACTGTAGTGAAACTGAAGAGCCAATACTTCAAATTACTTAAATCCATCAGAAATTTATCCACGGCCTATTTGTTAGTTATAGGCTTATTACCTACTTAAATCATGATAAAAAATATTTATCTTATGCCCAACTGTATATGTTGCATTTTCACATGCAAGAGGGTACTGCACTTCAATGTATTATCAAAATGCACAATTCATCACATGGACAATTCGGCAGAGACACTCATGCAAAACATTATCTACAAAAAGGTCCTTTAGAAAAAATAATGACAAGGTAGCTATAACATCCTCAATGATTGCCTCCTCAACACTTAGCTATAACACCATTTAACACAGTGCGGAGCATGGGTATATGCTAGTAATAAATTAATAATGATAATGATTATAATTGTGAATTTGTATAGCACATAATGTATGGGTCTCTGTGTTTTTACAGCCGTAAGTGCAATATATAAAGTTAAACATATTTTTATGATTTACCTAATTTTGATCTGTTTTATAATTATTATTATTATTGGTGTATATCATATGTATTGATAAATTCCATGTTGTAATGATTTATTAATGCTTTGAAATAGATAATCCAATTAATAACTTTGCACTTTCAATGATTAATTATTGTTCTACTCATTTCCACAGAGCACACCACAAACCAACTCAGCCAATCTCTTTGCAGAATTTTCTGACACATTCAAGCCCCCAACTAATACAGCAGCCCCCGCGGCCAATCCATTTGGGAATAATTTTAGCAACACTTCATTTGGTGCTCCAGCTGCCAATGCCTTTGGAGCCCCGAACCAATTTGGTGCCCCTGCAAGTAATGCCTTTGGGGGAGCAGCTTTTGGAGCCCCCGCCAGTAATACTTTTCAAGCTAATTTCTCTACGCCGTCAGAAGCACCTGCCATGCAGAAACCTGCTGATCCTTTTGGCGATCCATTTGATATCGGTGGGCCACCATCAGGCGACAGTTCTCAAGGTGTAATTGGTCAACCTCTGGCTCCCACTGCTGTACCAACAACTAATGAATCTGCCTCCAAACCAGATCCTTTCGGAGACCTCGGCTTAATAAGTAGTTCCTCATCAAAATCTGGAAAGGATATGTTTGCAAACTTTCAGATGGCCAAACCCGGAGAGGTTGCTATGCCGGATATAATGCCTGCAGGAATGCCAGACAGGCCTCCACCAGCTGTTCCATTATCTACTGGTAAATTAGATTCTGATTCATCACCAGTAGATACTTGTGAAGAAAATGATGAAGATTTTAATTTACCCCCTCCTCAGGTTCCTCCACCAACTCTTCCCCCTAGTTTTAATACAATTGAAGAGATAGATAATGCTCCTCCTCCTCCACCCCCAAGGCCTAGATACGCACTTCCAAACACATCATCGGTTGCAATTCCACCCAGACCAGCAGGGCGCAGTAGCATGCAAAATCTGAACTCAAATCATACTGAAAAAAGCAGTTTGTCACCCACAACAGATCTTTTTTCTAAGCAACAATTTTCATTACCTAGTGACTGGACAAGCAACTCATTAGAAACAAACTTTGATAGTAAAAACTTTGAAGGAAATTCAAATTCTGCTGGCAATTTAAACTCTTTAAATGTGTCAATTGATGATAAAGATGTGTTTGATCCATTTCATCTGCATTCGAATAGCAGCAGTACTGCAGCACAATCAATAACATCACAGTGCATTTCAAACCATCCGTCCAACACGCATTCTAGCAGCTTTACATCTCATTTCTTGAATCCATCTTCACTTGCAAATGGTACAAACGTACTGTCCACTTCATTACCAACAAGGGAAAACTTTTTTGTGAAGATGAGCACGTCTAAGTCAACATCATCCATATCAAGTCTTCAAACAAAAGCAGCTGTCTTGCCTATTCATGAGGATCCTTTTGCTGATGATCCATTTGCTACTAGTTCATTCACTACCAGTATATCATCTCATTCATCAGCTGTACCACCTCCGTTACCATCACGTCCAAAAACCCAAAGTTCAGTTAATAACGGAAAGAATCCTGTTTTAGGTACCACCGCCAGCACAAAGCCGACCTTAACGACATCGGATGGAGTCACTCTCTTTGATGACTCGCCTTTTGGCCTATAGGTAAGATGACATTTTTAAAAATTTATCTAACTTTATACTTTTAAAAGCCTTTGTATATTTCTTTGTAAATTTCCTAATTTCAAGTAACATCATTGAATATAGTACTTCCATTTAAAAAGAAAACCATCCTCATTTCAACAAGAAATGTTCCAATTAGACAGTGGAAATTAATGAGATGCATATTCTGGTTTATTTATTCACAAAAAAATATATACAGTACATAAAATTACTAGTTGCAGCATGAAAGCTGAATCGAGAGCAAGGTTTTTAAAAAACAATACTGACTGATAGTACTTGTAGTTTTCTGTGTTTTTCTTTGTACACAGCTGCTTGATAATCTTCCTATATAAAAAGTATTAAAGTTGCCAATTTTTTTTATTAACAGGCTCGGTGTTCAGAAGACTGAAAACACTGGGTAAAGAAGAACTGAAGCTGTTAGTAGACAAGATATCTTCCACAAATTGGATAATGTGCAACAATTTTTATTAAATATTATTCTAGAATTTTAAATATATGATTTTAAAATATATGATTGTGCTTTTTATAGTTTGTATTGCGAATTAAATTTATGGAAGCACTAGTGTATCTAGATAGAATATGAATTAAATTTTACTGCAGCTATTTCCATACTATCAAGTTTTATGTGAGAAATACAGTATGTGATTTGCCCATATGGGCATTGTACCATTAAAAAAAAACCAATTTATGAGATATAAAACGGGTATTTGTTGCTTAAAACTTTATAGATGGGCACAGCTTTAAATCATTATATTAAATTTCTGATAAGGCTTTCAAATATTATTATATTTTATTTTAATTTCCAAATTTGTCATCTAATGTAAGATACTTTAGAATTACATGCAAGTGTGCTAAAATTTGATCTTGCCTTGTTCATATAAAAAATAACAATGAATATGTTAATGTTTGTTTACTCCATTTTAAAACTTATTTTATTCAGAATTATGAATGGAAGGATAAGTAAGAGCAATAATTTAAAATTTTAAAATATGCAATTTAATAGTAACAAGAGTTTTACAATTTGAAGTTTTGGTGTACTTTCTCAATAACATGTCCAACAGTTATTTTGTTGACTTTTAATAAAAAGAGAATACTGTAATTTTTCAGTACAAAAATTAAACACAAGAAAACAAAATTATTTTGATTTAATGATGATAAAACTTCTTATCCATTATTAAAGACCTGTACAGATTACTGAAGTTTATTTCACAAAAATATGGGCATACAAAATTGATAATGTGAACAGAGTTTAAAATTCCAATCTAATCAAATGTATTACAGTAATTGTGCGTCGTCAAATAATATAGATTTAAAATACACATAGCATGACTAGCGAATGCTCCAAAAATTACTAATAAAGTATAGTGTACAGTATATATATTATGTGAAAATAAAGTTATCAAACTCCAATATACTTTAGTATAACACATATATTTCTAATCATAACAATTGAGTACCGTTATATACTCATGTATAAGACTAGGCTTAAAAAAGCAAATCGAAAAACAGAGGGCCTTATACGCACGACATACAAATATTAGATTTTTGAAATCATGTTCGTCTTATGTGCGGATCATCCATAACATGCAAATATGAATGATAAATACTGGGAAATAAGATAATTGTATTATCTTGAAGATTAGCTCTAATTTTAGCCGGCTAGATGCAGTATCAAGACCATAAATAGCAAAAATTCTGAATTTTGACGGTGAAGGGGGTCGTTTCATACACCTGACATACAAAAATCGTCCAAAAACCTTCTCAAACTTGGGGGTCGCCTTATACACAAGTATATAAGGTATATGATTTATAAAGTATAATTTTTTTATGCGATTGATATTAAGAAAAAATAACAAGAGGTGAATATTTTATTTAGTGATAATTGGTAATTTGTTGATCAAAATATTGGCAATAAATAAAATATTAACTTGCACATATTCTGTAATTTTATTTTTAAAGGAATTAAACAATGGACCCTGGTAGGTCTTCATGAAGTACTGAATATAGAATTGAATTTTTCATTTTTCTTAGCTAATGACACAGGAGCATAGTCTAAGTTCCCATTTGAATGAAATTTTTTTTTTTTGGGGGGGGGGGGGGGGGGGGGGAAGAAGGGTGCATCACTCTTCAGCCCATGTTACAGACAGTGCATCTTAAATTCAAATCAGAAAAGAAACAAATGCACCAGTGACTCAGATTTAATATTGTACAAAAAATTAAAATGCTAAATTTCACTGAGGTCCATAGTTGTAGTGTAGATGAACAAATCAAGGCATTGCACAAAATTTTAATTAAAAATAAAGCAGTACATTTCTTTGTCTATACTAGAAGTTTGGTCGATAGCAAACATTTGGCTTAATATGAGCTGAAACCTGTAAAATTTACCTTCCTGAGTTGTAAGTACTGTACAGAACAATTACGCTAGATTCATATAAAAATTCAACTAAAAGAGTATCCAAAAGGTCAACTTATTTACTTTGAAGTCCTTATTTACAAGACAAGTTTTTGGGGTTAAATTTATAAAGAGATAAAAATTACATATATGGTACATAAACTAACAAGAGCAACCACTCACTGGTATACGTGTTAAACAGATGTTACCTCTATTCAGCTTTTAACACTTTGAGTATGAAAAAGAGGCTTTTTGTTGACACTATAGAAACATGCTTTATACACAGTGGCGCAAGTTATTCTAGGTTTCGGCAAGGGCCCATGTGTACTATAAACAATGTAGCAGGCCTACATTCTTTGGAAAAGAGTAGGGGATTATCTCCTGGTGTACTGCCCAATCACCACCAGAAGGACCCCACTAGAAACAAGTCTGTGGATTGGGTTATCCTTGGTGTGATTCACTCCAAAATACTCACTACCTACCTACTTATCTTAAATAGGTGGTCACTAAAGCGTTAAGTAATGTTTACAATTTGATTATCACAAACATACCCTTCCAATTAAGCTGTGTTCTCAAGATTGATTTAATTTCAGTGTGATGATCAGTGGCAGATACAAGGGCACCTCACCGGCCCGGATCCCCCTACTGTAAATTTTTCAAAATAAAAATTTAAAAATAGAGAAAGAAAGAAAATTATATTCAAATTTTAAGTCATAGTGCCATTTCAGACGATCTAAAGGTGCCATAATCATACATTTTTCTTTCCTCAGCCTCAATCATGATGAGGCTGAGGTGGTATAGACCCTCCATCTGTGAAAGTCCTTCCAGTGGCGAACCGTATGCTAGGTATTGGCATATCTAGGATATGCAAGGGATGCGCGTGCACGCCGACCCCTCCCCCTGAAAAAAGTACTCGCCCATCCCTTAGTGCGCCCCCTAAAATAAATCATGCTCAAATTGTTAAGTCACCTCAAATCGCCTTATTTTGCGAGTTGTTTCCCCCCACCTCACCTAATCACCGATCCCCCACTTTCCCACCCCCATCAGCTCACTTTCATTTCAAGATCCCTACACCACTGATGTTAGGACCTGCTAGAAGGAAAAGTTTGTAAGCCTACTACTGCTATACAGAATCAGATTGTGTCCTATAGTCAAAATACAAATGTATGTTATTTTTAATACCGGCATGGTTGTAGTATGTTATTTTTAATACCGGCATGGTTGTAGTGTCTTCTCTTCAAAAGAATTCCTGTTCCTGTATTTTAACAAATTTCAATTCAAATAATAATTCAAAATTTCTTCTATACCGGTCATATGTATGCAGATTTATTTAAACTTTAATTATTGAGATTAGGCCTACAGATCGGCAGTGGAGGTCCCGATTTGTGAGAAGAAGAGCATGTGCACATACCGAGTAGGCCAAACATTGAAAAACTTTGATATTCCAATGAACTATAGCAATCAATTTGAAAAATAGAAGATTCTGACTAAGAAATGCTAAATAAAACTGAGAAACTATACTATATTTTTTTTTAATTTGTTTTAGCCAGGGTCCGCACTGCATACTGTACCTTGGCAGTCCGCCACTGCCTGGACCCCCTCAATTTCAAATTCCTGGATCCACTGATGATCATTACACTCACTTGCAATCAAATTCTAACTCAAGATTGTCCAGACCTGCAACAGCTGCACCAGAGATCTGTGGAAAATACTTTTCTACACATTGTACAACATCACTTTTTGACAACATTTTTGTTTCTACTAACTCATCATTGTCATTCTCAAAGAAAAAACTTGTGTTTCTAACAGCAACAAACTTTCCCTTATTTTTGTGGACCAATCGAAGGCTGTCAAGAAATGGAGACAGTGCTTGGGGCCCTTTGACGGTGAAAACCTTTCCCATGGAATCAGCAAAATAACTTAACTCTCTTGCATCAAGAGTCATCTCTGAAAAAACATACCATTTTTTGTCTCTAATGATTTCATTTGGTAACACTGGTCGAAATTTTGTAACAGTCTGAATTCGCTGTACGATTCCATTTTTGCGTACAAACTGACACTGGAAAAATCCTTGATGGTAAATGTCAGAACATTCATCAAATTGCATTGATATAGGCTGTTCCAGAAGATAGCCACACCCAACATCAACATAGTATACATCTCCAGGCCTGATTACTTCCTTCACGACAATAGCAATATGATTTCGAGGGTACCGGATGTCACAGGATATAAAGTGCGCTTGGTAGCCTAGAGAATCCAGAAGATACTTAAAGAAAACATTGTGATTATAGCAAAGACCACCAACCCTAGAGAATACATCTCTTTGAATTTCTTCAAAAGTTGGACAATGACGGTCCTCTGTTTTAGTAGCCAATAGAATGAGGTTCTGAAAAGGCTCCAAGTTAACATACGTTTTCATCATGCTACAGAGTAATTCATATCTATTCTGCTTCAGCTTTTCCTCTACATTTGAAATTTCCAGTATCCTGTTTATGAAGTCAATGGATTCGTTGATTGTCAACATCTTGTTCTGGAAAATGAATTGAAAATTTTAAATTATTAATTAATTGTTTTTGTTAAGTTCAATACTAAATTTGAGTTGCTTCCTTTGGATATTTGTATGCAAGTTGTTACTGCAGCTTTCGTATAAAAATTTAAGAATGAGAAAACATGTCGCCAATTAACGCTTTTAAAAAAACAATTCCTATAATTTTCGCATTTAAGAATCTCTAGTACAATTGCATTAAATTTACTGGAGAAATCCAAGAGCAATTTTCACCTCCAGAACGTTCTTGTGAACAGGGAGGAACTCAAAATTGCATCTTTAACAATCTACTGTTATACTGTATAAGCAAGTCCAACAGATTTGTTTGGGCCATCAATGACGGAGGAAATCTTTCAAGTTCCAGATTCCTTATTTTCAGAAATGCCACTCTCATTGACCTCCAGTCAAAACTCCTAGTACAGTATTTCGGAGGCAATCACCAGTTCCAACTTAACTGTGTTCATTTTAATACCTATTGGTTCTTGGTCCATTATTGATTTACATCAGTCAAAAAGACAGGATCTAAACAAATTTCAATAAAATAATTAATAGCACATTTGAGAAGATCAAATTCTTCATTCTCATCAGTGACAAGGATACAACCAAAGATAGGAATCATCTATGACATGTCGGTGACACAGGTTACGGGAAGTGAAATATTCCAGTGTTTGTCGCATGTATTTCTACAAACTTTTTACTTCAATTTCAATCTTTATTGGTCCAATATTTAAAAAAAAATACATGACTAAGCCTTGCTGATAGCAGGCGAAACGTTAACAAATAAATAGTGAGTAAAGCCTGTTTTCCACAGAGGCGAATTTATTCGCGCAAATCAAAGGCATCAGTTTGGTTCCTGCTAACTCTGATTGGTTGCACATTTTTTTCGCTTCACAAAAAGTAGAAACAGTTTGAACTACCAATTTTGCTGGAGCCAAAACTCCGGAGTCTGATAGAAATGTGAATGCGCATGAACCGGCGCTTTTGACTCGCGCGAATAAATTCGCAAGTGGAAAACCGGGAAACCAGGTTTATCATCTCAATTTACAATCGTTTGTATCATTAAAAAGGAACCTCTAATACAGATATACTAAGGATATTTTGAATTATATTTATAGATGGCGGTAGAGATTTACACTTCAACCAACCTGTACTGGTGTACTGAAAGGGTTTGGGCGAGTTTGTTGGGGGTGAGTTTGTTAAGGAGTAAGTTTGTTGGGGTGGGGTGAGTTTGTAGAGAGGGCGACTGTGTTGTGTCAGGAGGTGAGTTTGCAAGGTGGGGGGGTAAAGTTTGCAGGGGGAAAGTTTCTTAAGGGGTGAGTTTGTAAGAGGCGACAACAATGTATAGAGGGGGGGGGGGGCCCAGTTTGTTAGGGGTTGAATCTGTAAGGGCAAATAGATTATCACTCCCGTCCGCGTCAAAATTTCGGGAAATATTGATACGGGAACAAAATAAACATTTTTTTTGCCGCATCAATTATTTCAACAGCATAAAAATAACTACCGTATGCAATTTTGTTACTGGTACTTCAAGTACATTTTCTTTAAAAAACTATAAAATTAAACCAGTTTTTATACCGGTATTTACTATTTACAGGCCAAATATAAACAGTCCCACCCTCATCGATAAAAACAAAAGCGAAATAATCTATTGTTCCGATAAAAATTTAAAAAAAAAAAACCGCCCTCCCTCATCAATTTTTCAACAAAAAAAGTAAATATAAATTTAATAATTTTTTCTATGTGCCCTAAGAAGAGGGGCCAGTTTGTTAGAGGGCGAACTGAGAGGTTCCCTCTCTCTGGGTGGGATAAGTGAACTCGGTTTTGAGAATATCTGGCCAGACTTGAGCAAGAAGAAAGATATAAATATAAGAATGAGCTGTACTTACCAGCAGTAGCTTACTCTCTCAGACTCTGGGAACAAAAAATTAATTATATAAATTCAGTTACTAAGTTTTTGAATCGGTAATGAGTTGACATTCATTAACAAAAATTACTGCACTGATTACTCGTTCTCTCAGGTTCTCTGGATACGCCTGGCGATACCATTTTCTTCGAAGGTACTCTAGGACAAATTAAATTGTTAACTTATACCATTATAGTTCATGTACAAATTAATGTATAATGGTCGTCTTGGCCTTCGTCCTCTCTACTAAATAGCAGGCTAGCCTAAGCCAAAAGGCATACTGCTGTGATAAGTAGCCTTGCTTGCCTAGTCATGACTACCCTCCTTTTTAAGCATAGAATAGCCTATCTGGTCAAAGAGCTGGTGTTGACCCGTTAGTAGACGTCATGATTTGACGTAAATTTCCCCATGCACACGCAATGAAAACGTGGAGTGAGGCCCACCTAAGAAGTTTGCAAGATGCCAAAAGTCAGGAGTGAAAAGAAATCTAGGGTTCACCAACAAGTTATTAAACAAGGTATGATTTATAGGATTCTCATTTCTAATCGCTCGCTTGCTATAATAATTGTGAAAATAGATTTTTAGATAGGCCTATCGCTAGGCTAGGCCTACTGCCGCCGCATGGTCCTGCCATCCATACTGATTTGTCCCTTGACCAAAAATAAACACAGGAAGTGATCCCATTGGTTTTTTTTCAAGCAATCATTTAATTTATGATTATTTTTGCTATCATAATTTCAACTGTGCAGTGTCTTCAGACATTTTCTTCTTTCTTCCTGTCAAATTAAGTATTAACATTGTAAATTTTGTAAATGTATTAATTCAAATTGCAAATTTTGTAATAAGTTAGAATTTAATTTTTCCCTTTAGTTTTACATTTGAATTGTGAATTGTTATGAAACTGTATTTTAATCACCTTTTTATGGATATTCTTCTGACATGCCATAGTGCATAGCATTACTGAAGTTTAAGGTTTTGTCAAATCAGCTCCACCAATCAACACCTTGGATTTACATAAAGTTGTCAGAACAATATCCACAGCCATATCTTACCATTGTTATTATAACAGAACTTCAAATCAATTACTAAATGTTCCAACACTTGCAGGGATCTTGTTTAACACTGGTATTGGACAGCATATTCTCAAGAACCCACTGATTGTTGATAGCATGATAGAGAAGGTATGTACAAATAAGCAAATGGATGTCGAGTGAAAGAAGCAAATGGATATTGTTCTACAAGCTGTAGGTCATTAGATTGTGTTTCAAGACAGCTCACCAATCAGCACCGCAGATTTGTGTTAAATTATTCATGGTATTCAAACATATTGTGCAAATATATTGTGACGTGCCGGGGGTACTTACCAGACAGCATTTTTTATACCGACTAATCGATTGTGGCTATCTATCTTATATTTTAACACTATTTATACTGTATTTAGTTTATTTATTTTCATATTGAACCTTGGAAAAACAATAATGTAAAGAGAAACTTGAACATGCTTTTGGAGAAATCAATGATTACTTTGTCAGGTTAAATATCTTCATTTTATCTATCATTTCACACGATTTTTAATCGTGCATGAAATCCACTCACGATATTTTATAAGTTTACATGACCGTGATGCTTGTATACAATGACATATTTTTTCTTCTTAATTCATTTTTAAGACAATAAGAATTATTATTGTAATTACTTTGTTAATCTGCCGAGATAGTTAAAATTTATCAAGATATTTTAATTGATCACAATTGATTGATTTGCTTGATCCAAATTGTAGGCCGCATTGAGAAATACAGATGTATGTTTAGAAGTTGGTCCTGGTACAGGAAACATGACGGTCAAGTTGTTAGAAAAAGCAAAAAAGGTTTGTAAATAAATGCTGCTTTTGGTATTAAAGAAAAATACACATTTACTCATATATTGTATAGAAACCATGGAATGAAAAAAGAAAAATACAACAAAATTAACAAAAAAATAAAGTAAAGTTTCAACACCGATGTGCAGATTTTATATAAAAACCTTAAATTGAGATGCAAGGGAATGTTACATATACATGTTGCCTTGCATTTTTGTGATGCAGACTTGACCTAGGCCTGTAAATATTTTTTCTCTTTTATTCCCTTCTGTATGTTTTTATGTCTTAATGAATAAAGTGATTTTACATACTATGACCGAAAGATCTCAATGATTCTTATTTCCATTAAATTGTGTCAAATTGCAGACTACAGTATATCTTGGTTTTTCATATAAATAGCTAGTAAATTACTGAAATATGGAAAGTAAGCAATCAAAATATTAACAATTTCCTTTAAATAAAACCAGTATGTTTACAATTTTTAAAGATTAATAGCTTAACCAAGATAGTATCTATAAATTTTTTTTTTTTTCAGGTAGTTGCATGCGAGTTGGATCCTAGGCTAGTGGCAGAGTTACAGAAGCGAGTACAATCAACGTAAGTAATCTCTAATAAAGCAGACACAGCCTTTGTATGTACAATAATTATTGAATGTGTCGCTTCTACTTATACTTAAATGCACTGAATCACTCCACAACAATTATCACATGACCAAATTTAGCTACAGAATTTAGGCTAAATACTGCTGTTTTTTCTAGCCCTTTAGCTGCCAAGTTGAATGTCATTGTTGGTGATGTCTTAAAAACAGATTTGCCATTTTTTGATATATGTGTTGCAAATCTTCCATACCAAATATCTTCACCATTTGTCTTCAAGCTTCTTCTTCATCGACCGTTCTTCAGGTTAGTTACTCACTCTGCTTTTGTTTTTGATTGATTTTCTTTTATAATTATTTCTGCATTACCTCTCTATAGGAGATAATTTTGTCATTACTAATTTTAATTATAATAATTCACGATGAATGGACACTACCTGGCTTTGCTACTTCAATCCAGCACTCTTGACATCTTCTTTGTTTCACCGATAATTACCATCTATTTAAGACCAACAAAGTCATCTTTTATCATTCACTTGATGACGGTCATAGCATTCTATCTGAAACGTTGAGACAACCAACCCGTAATTTTACCTCAAAAACCATAGTTTTACACATGGTGTACCAAAATTTTTATGATTTTGTTATTGATACTCGCCACACAAACCTTCAAGAAATATTTTAATTCTTATAAAGTTCTTCTTTTCCAATGTATAAATATTAATTTGTCTATTTTAATTCTCAAAGTGCATTGAAAATTTTTAATGCACGAAAGCGATCATTCATTAGAAGTTTGTTTTGTAAATAATTCTCAACAAAACAGCCATCAAAAAATAAAGTGACACTGTAGGTATTATGTACAAAATTTATTTGTATTTGCTAATTATTAAACTTGCTAAGAGCTAGGCTTAGGTTAGGCCTACATACATTTTACCTAGGCCGATGAGGCTTAATTCTATGTCAGAGTGGCCTTACTCCGACAAGTGTGTTTGATGCAAAGTTTTCAGACTTAGAATGGCCTTGGCCCTCAGGGGTGCGAAACTCCTCTTAGACTTCAACTGACATCATTGTGGCTGAAACCCTCTCCCCCCTCCCACCCCCACCCCCCGAATAAAAACTTTCAAAAAATTGAAATGTATTAAAACAATACATTAATATATATTAATATATTATTATTATTCTTATACTGGTGTTCTTATTATTATTATTATTATTGTTGTTAATATTAATTTATCTAAGCACCTACAACATACCCACTTGCAATTTGTGATTTTTTATTTTTCTAATGAATATTATGGTGATTTTTCTTTGCTAGGTGTGCAGTGCTGATGTTCCAACAGGAATTTGCCCAGCGTCTTGTTGCCCAGCCTGGTGATAAGCTGTATTGTCGTTTGTCAATCAACACACAGTTACTAGCTAGAGTTGATCATCTGATGAAGGTGAGCTAAAGGAAGAAAAATAATAGCACTTATCATTAGTAATACAAAGTTTTAATATTAGTTGTGTAATGCCTAATAATAAAGTACAATTTGTCCAAGTCTTCTCGGATAAGGACTTAAAATGAAGGTCCAATGTACACATCTGGCTCGTGTGCACTTTAAAGAACAATTGCATCTTTCGGAAGAGTAGGGGGTTACCCCTTTGCTATGGTCCATGTTATCCCCTGTGATTGTGGAATGATGTGAACATGTAGCTACTTTAAGCGCCTCTTTACTGCCGCTAGGTATTCACGGACCACGCCCATATGCAATTCACGGACCACGCCCATATGCAATTCAGCACAATCATGCTGCGAGTTATGGGTTATTCTCCTACCTTTACCCACTTCATGCTGCATCACATTTTATTCTCGGAAATGTTTTGATAAATGGATCTTTCTGAAGTGAGTGCCAATCAAACTTAACAACTGACCAATCAGAACACTATTGTTTTGTGGGACCTTAACAACAATATCCAAGGGGCGGGGCTTAGCGGAAAGGTCCATTTCTTGCCCTGAATTCAATGATATTTTAGATAACTTGTCAGTGTTCTACTGTCAGGTAATCTGCCAATGGTCACATCTATTTTTTTGAAATGAAAATAAGGATGATGTTATATGATGCTTGCAGTACAACATGTAGATAGATATTCTGAAAAGAACTGTTTTGGTTGGTTGAGAATATCTCTGAGATGTTCTCAACCAACCACAACAGTTCTTTTATATATGTGGTGTACCGCAAGCATCAATATATATTATTTCTTCGCCATTGAAGCCTTCAAATAATACTGATGATGCTGAAATGATTCCTTTTTTTTTTTCAGGTTGGCAAAAATAACTTCAGGCCTCCACCAAAAGTTGAGTCAAGTGTGGTCAGACTTGAACCCCGCAATCCACCACCACCAATCAATTTCCAGGTATCCATATTATATTCATAATCAACACAATCATAATCATCACCACGACGACCACTGCCATCATTGCCATCTTCAGGAAAATGTTTGAACACATATAAAAGCATCAGATGTAAATTCAAGTAATGTAACTTCCATACAATACAACATGCATCTACCATAAGTTCTAGTAAGCAAATATTGTCAGGTTTGGAGTACACTATAGGGAACAGAAGCCGAAGGAGCTATTATTCCCGAATGCGATTTTTCAAAGAATTAATGGATCCTAAGGCGTCTATTTTTTTTTATAGTGTAGGCAATTACTTGACTATAATTGCTTTATAAGTCAGCTGTGACGTCCATCACCTTTTATTTGGCCATTTAAGTAAACTGTAAATCAAACTGCTGGTTGCGATGGTCAGTTGCTCAGTGATCACTGTGCGTGTATAGCTGTGCGTATTAGATTTGTTAGTAGTACGCACACTCACACTCTTTGCAAAGCTCTTCTCAGCTAGCTCTTTGTGATACGAAGATGAATGAATTGATTGTGGTTAATAAAGTTTATTATAATTAATTATTTCAGCCTTATTTTTTCAGTTCTTCTATAAGTCAATCACCTTGTTATCTCACAACCATTATGCCTTTCCATGCTTTGCCAAGGACGGTCTAGGCTTCAATTGTGTTCCAGCACCGTAGAGCAAGATTTGTTAGGTTAGCTGTGTGTATTCTTATCTTGGCCTAGCAATGAAACATTCCATCGCGATGCACTGTAGTAAAATCACCCCAGCTTTGAGCTTTTTGCACACTAGACTCAAAAAGTGGCAGCACTATCGAATTAGTGATCTGTTGGGAATGGGAAAATTCAGGGCAAATGAAAGTGATGACGTCACCACTGACTTATAATGTTCATTAATATCAAAGATCCTCATTATTTCTGTATACAACTTAATTACTATTTTCATAATGATGATTTTTTAAGATTAATGCTTTCTGAAGGTCGTACATTTGGCAGAATATTGAATATATTTTGTCATTACGGTCATCTTAAACTCAAATCTACATTGTTTTAAATTATACCTTTGTAGTAGGTTGCAGATGTACACAACGCATGCTTGTTTCGGATAGAATTTTAAAAAAACCATTGGACTGTATTCACATATAGAACTATATTTTTAGTAATAAAATTGGCAAATGTGACAGTAAAGAGGTCGGTGGGGACTGACTCAAGCCACATCAGCCCTTGAGATAAAGCCCTGGTATCAGTTGTCAGGCTAACAATAGACATATTGTATTGTTTTTACAGGAGTGGGATGGATTGGTGAGAATAGCTTTTGTGAGGAAAAACAAGACTCTGGTGGCAGCCTTTAAGTAAGTTTTCTATGTTACTACAATATGATTTATGTGATTATAAACCTACAAATACATTTTTTTAAAAATTATAAACATGAATAAGGACAGAACTGTTGTATAACACATTTAATTTTTTTTTATTGTACCAGAACAAAGTCAGTTATTGAAATGCTTGAGAAAAACTACAGGATACATTGCTCTATGAAGAACATTGTAAGTACAATATTGATGATGAGTGTCATTCTTTTCTATCTCCTCATGTTTCCAGGGAGGGGTTTGGGAAAGGGGTTGGTAATTGGTGAGGAATTCTAAATATGAATTTTTTAGTCCAGGACCCTGACCAAGGTTTTAGTCGGCCCCTTGGTTTGGACTTGGTGCACACCAGTCAGCAAATTTTTGGAGCCACCACTGCTCACAATCTTTGAAAAACTGTTTATTTTATTCCTGTATGAGGCAGCTCTCACAGATAGGGCCCCACCCACATCGTAATTTATATTATTCTCTTGGATAAAGATGGACAAAGGAAGCAAGCATGCAATAAATAATATTATTGTTTATAAAATTAAAACTATATAAATTTATAAACATTTTTGTGCTTCCAACTACTTTCACAGAAAATTGAAGATAACCTAAACATGAAAGAGAAGATCTCAGAGTTGCTAGAAAAAAATTTGTTTGACAAAATGAGAGCTAGAATGATGGATATTGATGATTTTTTACGGTGAGTATTTCACTTTCAGTATACTTATTATAAAAGAATTACTTAGTACTCTACTTGTTTCGTTGGTTTCCAAATTTTCACTTGGGAACTTAACTAGCAGATGACCAAAATGGAAATAAGTTTTTTCTGTTATACTTGAAATTTGTGTTATTGTTTTGTATTGTATGAGTTCCAAATAAAGTCAATCAATCAATCAACAATTACAGTTCCGTAGCTAAATGATTGGCATAATTATCTCTGCAGGCAGTGTGTGTTGTGATAACTATTTCTGAGAAAGACCATTCAAAAATTTTGTTGTTCTTAGGAAAAATGAGTATTCATACTTTCCTGGAAGTCTGGGGTATATAAAATTGGTTATTATGGTTATTATTTCCTCTTGTTGCAGGAGTTTTGGTTTAAGATAAATTGGTGGGTCGATGTCGGTATATCTATTGGTGATTGATATATAACTAAGTCATTTGATGGGTTCTGTTCTGCCATTTTAGTTTTAGGTGCTCCCATTCCAGCTGAGCAATCATATTTGTAACCCTACTATGTCTACTGAAGTCTTGGATGAAACGAGCAACTCTACATTGCAATCGCTCCAATGCTGTTATCTTGTATGACTGATTCTGTATGGATTCCAAGTCACTATTATATATTTCTAAGTCAGGTCTTATGAATGTGAGGTTGAGCCTTTCTTTTACTGCTTTGGAGCACATATAAAATTGTGTTTGATAAAATTTCAGAATTTTGTTTGCCTTGGTGACAGCATTCTGTGTCTGCTTTTCCCATCCCGGACCATTTTAGATGATTATTCCAGTAGTTACAGTATTATATACTGCATACATAGATTCCAGGCATCTGATTGGTTAAAAAGTAGGTAATAACTTCAACCATCACTCGCATGACTTAGGTTGAATCATAATTCATAAATTCTCGGGGAAAAAAGTACTACGTTAAATGATAGTGCTTTTTTTCCTATGATGATCATCTCTAGGCCACACTTAGAATGTCACTGTGTGATTTATAACATGTACGAATGGTAAAGGGGACTGCAACCTACGACAGGAGAGATTGGCACTTGGAATGGATCAGTGAGCACTATCAATTGATGCCTAGCGTAGGCATGATGGGGAGACCATACCTAGCCTACTATCTTCCCTCGGGCCTTGAGCAGTCAGTATTTGTCTACTGTCTTTATATTGTGTCCATTTTTTCGAGATATAATTTGAAAGATTGTCAGTTTAAGACTTGTCTGTTTTCATTTCAGGTTGCTCCAGCTTTTTAACTCAGAAGGAATTCATTTTTCATGATGCAACATCTTGTCACTCTGCTATAGACTACATGAGTAATAAGGTCTTGACCACAACATATGTAATTGCCATTCACAAATAATTATGGCAGTACCAGTTACTGGGGTTGCAATGACACCTGCACACTTTACTCAGCTTTGAGGTCAAGTGCAATAAACATACAGATTCACAGACATGGTGGTTGATGTTAAGGTAGAAACTTTCCAGGATGTGTGCAATGGAAAGATGAATTGTATGTTTGAAATTTAACCTGTAAATCAAAATAGGTATGCCAATGGGTGTATGTCCTGAATCATGTCTTGATCTGCTCTATCTTCAGACAGTGCTCATTCCATTTGAAATGATTTATGTCACAGGTTTGCATTGCATTAACTTTGACTAAGACCAAGGATAACATTACTTTGGTCAATTCGCACTGGAATTTAATAAATGGCTGATCGACCGATGTATGATTTTTGCAAATAAATTCTGTGAAAAGTTCAGTATTAGTTGCACATGTTCATAAGATTTCTATTTGCCACTTGGAAGACAGATATGAAGTGGTTAACATTTTTATGAAAATTATGTTTAGAAATGATTGAATAAAACACAAACAAACATTATTTGTAAAGATAAAAAAAGTACAATGGGTACTTGGTTTATTGATTCCCTCTAGACTACAACGGGAAGCACTACAACACAGGAATTGGTAAAGTTTTGAATTCTTAATATTTCAAGTGATTTGCAGTATCAACAGGTCTGACAGAAAGACCAGTGTGTGTCATTAAAATTAACAAAAAATACCATCTTTATGTCTATAACCATATACTGCCCTAAGCATAAACACCTTGCTACAACACCCCACATCAGAGTACTGTATGGGGGTCAGACCTACACATACATGTTAATGCAGAACACCATGCCTTTCCTAGTGTTGGATTTTCCACCCTAAACATTAAACAGAGCCCTCATTGGACTTTTTTCAAATAAGGGTCAGGGTGGGCTAGTACCACAGTCTGTACTACATAATAATGTATATGTACGTATCCACCCTAAACAATCAACAGGGGCCTTTATTGGACCATTTTCTGTGTAAGAATTCAAATTTCATACATTCAATGCTGAATATGCAAGCCAAAATATGATAGTTTGTATCAAAAGTTATATTGTTTATTAAACCTGATAACACTTAAAACCTTTGATTGTACTTAAAATGGACATTTTGCAAACAACAGATTGATAATGCTTTATCTACAGCCATACCATCACCATTTGATAACTTGATACTTTAGTTATGAGTACAAGTGTCTGAAAAATACCTACGTTGGAGATACAATAGGACACTTTAAGTACTGTCTAAATCAAAGTGACATATCCTTTAAGCAACAGAGAGTATCTTCACAATTTTATAAATGAAAACCTATTTCAACAAAAAATCTGTACAATTCTTTGGATGAACTGAAAGCAATATGTATAGGTTGTATAGACGAATTAACCTGACAAGCTGTTGGGTATTGCAGCTGGTTTAATTATTTCCTAACTATAGGAAACTCCTAGCAACAATTTTTAATCTGTGTTCTATAACCATAACAAAAATTGAAAAAAAAAAAAAAATTCGACCTGATTAGGTTTCTCATTCTTGTATTGTTAGTTGCTAAATAAACAGAATACTTAATGTTCGCAAATCATTATTATGACTTCACAAACTATTTACTTCATCCAAATTTTTACCATTTGTCAAAAATTCCGGGGCAAATAATAATAAATTTCTTCTGGTTTTTCTTTTTTAATTAATCTAGTACATACACATTAAAAAAATCATCCTCACTAAAATTGCCTCAATAATGTGAATGACATGAAAACAAATTCAGTTTCAGTACATTTTAATCAAATTACCTTTTAATTAACTATATCTACAAATATTATTTACAAAGAGCTCCTCTGATCATACAAATACCTAAAAATCAAATACCTAGTGAAAATCATCTTTGTATATACAACAGTAAGCTACTACTCTGCCTACATCTACACTGGTTAAATACATATACAATATAGTCTAATAAGGATAAACATACAGTTAAAACGCATACAAATGAAGATAACAATAAGGGAGAAAGTGCTAAGCTGTGAAACAAACATTAATTCAATCAGATGCCAAGCTGGCAGAATGTAAGCCTTGTATTCCTGAACATTCATAGCAATTTGTAAAAAAGCATAATTCCATACTAAGAAATAAACAATTGGCAATTTTAGTGTTATGGGCAATAGCATTTATACATGATCTTGTTGTCCAATATCATTTTTTTTTAAAAAGAACCACTTACCATTAGTTAATACAATACACCTGTCCATAGCTTGGTTTGGACTACGGTAGATCTAGTATAATTCACAGACATTTAATACCCAATTCACATCAGAAAAATATCTGGCAAGGAATTTCCTAAACAATGTCGGTTGGTGCACCTGACATTAAAAGTATGGGTGAAGCTAAGCTGAGCCCCATTAGCATGCCCACAAAACTGTTCTCAAGGGTGTTATAGGCCTCTGCAACATTTTATTTTTACTTTACTGGGTGAAGCTAAGCTGAGCCCCATTAGCGTGCCCACAAAACTGTTCTCAAGGGTGTTATAGGCCTCTGCAACATTTTATTTTTACTTTACTGGGTGAAGCTAAGCTGAGCCCCATTAGCATGCCCACAAAACTGTTCTCAAGGGTGTTACAGGCCTCTGCAACATTTTATTTTTACTTTACATGAATATTACACAGGACACATGCTAATCTTTCAGGGATGCAAATTTACATACACTGTGCATGCTATATTTTCTTTCGCACAGAATGGGTGCAACATAATCTTCTTGTGAATCAAGTATTACTATTCGTGTAGTTACTCAGAAATTTATAACTCACAATGTTGACCTAGATCACAATCCGAGTAATCAGAAAGTGATACTTTGGTGGTATAAGCCATCTAGGACTCGATGACTATACTTTGTTCAAGACACTCTGAATATTAACTTCTCTTCAGACTACCAAGTATAGGTACTATTAAATCTCTTGGGCATTTTTTAAAACCACCTTGCAAATAAATCCATTATCAGATTGAGAATAGCAGGGAATACATTTGACAAGAACCAAAACAATTTCAATTAAATTATAAATTGGTACTTCTTTCCTGAATCAATTTGAAATAATGAATTAATTTCATATTTATAATCCATATTATTTTTTCCGTATGATTTACAATGCAACTAATACTTGATACCACAACCATAACATTAATGCATACCACAACCATAACATTAATGCATACCACAACCTTGAGGTTGAGGGGTGCCACAACACAGCGATTTTGCTTCAATATTTTTCTTTAGCACCATTACAGCCATATTTTACATTAGTTCACTATGAACTAATATATTTTCAACATCCATCTGCAAAAATCACTTTATATGACAAAACGTTGAACTTTAGTGGCTATTTGAAAATTACATTAGAAGACACCAAGAATCAGCTGATCTTGACTACAGTAATCACCAATGCTAATAAAACTGTTTTCATGATTAAATTACAATTAAAATACAGTAATTCCAAGAAAAATAATTTAAATTTTGTACTCTACACACCATTCTGCCTGTCAGTTTGCTGTAAATTCTGATGCAAACCACACATTAGCTGATATAAGATATAGTTAAAAATTGACTTTGAATAATTTTAGCAGAGGTGAATGCAAAATGAAAGAAAACATTAGAATTCAACATAATTATACAACTTGATGTTTAAGTAACAAAATACTATACTATATAATATCCTCTTTATAAACCTAAAAATAACATGAAAGTAACACTTATTTTAACAAACATAATGCAATGATTCGACTGTATTTCACACAGAGTTTTAAAAATGATTTTTACGGCGATTTGATATTTATGATTAAAAACTTCACAATTAATAAACAAGATCAGTTTTGTAGAAATTATTATTGGTTTTTCTTATTGAACTGATCAAAAACAGTGTCTATGTTTTCTATAATAAAATAAAGATTGTGAATACTACTATTATAATGACTGTTTACTCTCTCTGAAGAACATTTCTTTATCCTTAAAATACAAAAATAATAATTGTTAAAGCAAATTGTGAATGAGACTGTCTCATGAACACACCTTCAGAAATTTGTACACAAACAAAAAGGCTAAACAAACATAGAAATTCCAAACTCTGAATCGCAAGTTATAATAAATTAATTCAATTCTCTGTGTCTACATACAACCTCTCCATCAATTCTTAATGTAGCAGCATTAACTGACCTCTATTTTTCTCATTACTATACATCGTATCCATCACCTTGCGTTAAATTGAAATAACCGTAGCACAGATATACCCCAATTTGCTGTACAAATGTTTCTTTTAGTTGTGAAAAGTGTGGTAAAAACTTAATGGTACTAATATACTGTATACAGATTGCCCTTTACACAAGGTTAGATTTCAAAAAGTTAAGCATCGATTACAATATGCACTTACTTAGATATATGCATACATTGGTTCCACTTTTAGTTAACATATAATCATCAGTAAGTATATAAATGACTATTAATTAGTACAATAATAGCCATGTTTTTATCCTTCATTTATATTTTTTACAATTTATCCACAATTTGATCAATATACTATGCAGCTTATCTACATTAACATGTGCTAAAGCTTTGGAAAGGTTAACATAATTCTTTATCTGTTAGCCAGTAAGGGCTCTGCCATAGGTAAACTGCCCATCGCACCAGTCTCTAAAAATGACTAACAGTATTCTACACATAAACATTTACTGAATTGACAATTTTGGTATCTACCCCATCAGAGTCTATCCATGGTCTAAATTAGTTGAAAGAACTTGCTCATGGGGTTTACTGTTTTACGCTGGGGACTACTAACACATTTGCTATGATTATTCTTACATGCCAGTTGTCATGATGATCAACATCAATCTTTTACCTTGATCTTTAAAATATCATTATTTTTGCTGCCAATAATGAGGAATTCTTTTTTAAACACATTTATTTATTTTTTACATATACCATAGTAAAATAAATCACATTGATTATTGCATCACTCTAAGAACTGCAGTGTGCTTGACATCACTTGCCTTACTTGTTTAGATTCCATTTTCATTACTTTATAATAATGAATAATATTTGATGACTTACCCCAATGATCTTGACCTGATTTTTGAAGTATGTATTAAATCATTTAAGTGTATTCCATGGGTTTAAAAGTAATCATGGAATGATCTTTCTTTCATTCCACACATTACAGATCTGTAAATCTGTTTCAATCATTACTTTCGATTTATCTTGTTGCTCACTATTAAAATATTTCTGTAAATTTTTTTTTCAACCCGCCCACAACCATTATTTTCTGGAAATTTGTTGCTATTCAGATTTACAGAGAATGGCGAATTATCTTGACCTCTGACCCACCCACCGAGACACTTTCCTTTGGCAAGGTTTTCATACAATTGTTTTTTTTTTATATATATATATATATTCATTTATATATATTTCAATCTATATATTAAAAAAGACAAGAAATTAAGCCATGTTTGGCTTACACTCAAACAGTAGCAAAATACACAATTCACTCTCTTCACTTTTGTAAATAAATAAATCATTGCATGTCTGTGTGTCACTGTGGTACCTGAACAGCCTCTGCTAACGATGGGGTCAATGTCCTTGTGTTTGCCAGCAAATTGCTGGTGTGAGAGTCAAAAGGTAGAGACATGGCCATTACATTTTGTATTCTGTTCATAGGTGATCCAATAAGGTTATTCCTAAAGTCATGCCCTTGAATATGCTTGGCTATATCTGCAGCATAGTCAGTATTGTTAGGTTCGTACGTTATTTGGTTGTCGCTGTCTACTTTTAAGCGTTTTACTACTGTTCGGTCAGCCTCGTCACAATCTTCCGTCCGCGGATGTTTTAAGCTTGGAACACTCAGCAATGAAACATCATCCAGTGGCAGATTGCTAACTGGCAAACCACCTGGTTCAGGTGATACTTCTCCGGCCTGTAATTCTGGAATGCTTGCTCCATCCATATTGCTTGATCTAATTTGACGAATATTATCCATTAGACACTGTGCCGGAGTTGGGCTTGCTATCGTCTCTGGATCATCTAAGAACCGATCCATGTAATCGCTGAAAAAACAAAATGATATCTTAAGGATTTTGATAAATATTTATTTGGAAATATTATGTAGAAATGGACGTTTAGTCATTAAAAACACACATCAGGATTTCAACCTGAATGCGTCAAGATTAAAAACAGGTACCACAACTGAACAACATCTTAGCTATGCTAAGTTTTTTCCTGTTTCCATGACAAGTGTTCATAACAAGCATCAATACTTACGTTATCCCAGGATGTAAATGATATTTCTTCTTTGATATCCTAGTTTGGTTTGCAAACACATCATGCCTGGCTGTCTTCTTCCAAAGATAATAGAATTGAACAAGTTCACCAACCGACCTTGTTTGAACCTACAGAAAGCAACATTAAATCATAATATATTTATAGAGTGCAAACATCCACAGCAGAATACAAACATCATTGTGAATCATGTTGATGACATCACAGTCTATATAAGAATCTATTTAGCACTAGTAAAACCCTTTATTACATTTAATGTAGGTTTTAAGTCTCTAAGGACAACTTGTCAGGTGTAATCTATAGCACACTTGGGATCTTTCTAGAAAATATTAAAAGCAATAAAGTGTATAATAAAAAATGTCTATAAATTACTCCAAAGTAATGGAATGCTAATGGAAAATTTCCACAAATTACTGTTATCCAGAATCATAAAAGAAAAGTAATTAGAGAATAGATTTCTATGTGATAGAAAAATGCAAAAAAAAAAATATTTTCTTGTTCTAATTTTAAATGATCTATATGAAGCAATTTGATATTGGAAATTATTGTTTAGTAGGTACTTAAAATCTCTCACCTTATGTAACTTAATTAAATGGAAGTTTTTGCCATAGGATCTGAGTCCACTTTCAAAGAATCTACACTCATCCTCAGACCACAAACTCATCTCATCCGTGATTGGTGCAATTTGCATCTTGTGCCTCCTTAAGGCTTCCTCAATGTTGTAACCACATTGTAGTAGCACATACAACACCTACAAATAACAATACAATGTTGATAATAATCACAGAAGCTAAAACCCTGCAGTGGTAATGGTAGTTTACATATATAGTGGGGGCATCAAAGAACAAAAATCTAAAGCATGAAATATCCTCTAACTACAAAAGGGAAACAACCAGAGAGACAGAGAAGACAGTGGAAAGAAAACCAATATCACTGCTCCGTTTTCCAGCACATTGAGGCCCAGTCAAAAAATTGTCAATTATTATTTACAACACGTATCAACATTTTATCAATGACCACTTAAGACAGTAAAGAATATAGTACTAAAACATGCAAATATTCTGAATTTTCAGAAGATGCTTTAGTTTGCAGATTTTTATTTTCTCACAGGTATGCAGAAGATACTGATATCTGCAAGCCTCCTGCAACTCAAATGGGAATACAAGCATTTACGTGCCTGTTACCTTGTCCATTAGAAATGCATACACAGTGTGCTGCTGCACCTTTTGTGGAGTTTTCCAACATGTATCACCTTTGCTTAAACAATCTCTTATATATTATCTCAAAGAGTCTTTACCTTCTCATCATCTCTAGTATGTGCCCCTTGGCTAACAGCATGAAGGTCTTTGGCAGTGGCTGATGTGGCAACTTGTACTTGACGCAAGTAACTTTCTGTTTGACTGTCGTCTAATTTACTAGGGTCCCACAGCAGCCTGTCCTCATTCTCATAGGCTATCATTACATCAAAAAAACAGTTAAGTTAAAATTTGTATAATTATGAATAAACAAGCATTTAAGAATTATTTTTAATTGTTATTACTCCATATTTTTCATTGCATATCATATATTTAAAGCCCCATTCCCAGCAAAATTTCAGTTAAGAAAAATCTGATTTTTATACACAGTATGTTTATAAAGATTTATAAATATAATATTATAAATATACTATGAAATTGCTAGTTTAACTGAATTTGTCAGACATGAAAACGGCTGACATGATATTTCCGTTGCTAGTATTGACACATATGAAATATAATATTTCAATGCAATTGTTTCAAATTCGTCAAAAAATTATTCGGACAATGAAACAAACATATTTCAGGCCTACACGATTGACCGCAGTGTGCAAGATGTGAAGTACAAAAACTAATCTCACTCTTTATTGACTGTATAAAGTATACACAAAAGCGAAAGCTTTCTAGTGGATGCGATCTACAATCTCTGAATTTGCCTAGTAATGAAGAAGTCAGAGAAAATGGTAATCTTCTATGAGAAATAGTCTCTATTTCTCATTTTTTTCTCCTTTTATGTAAAACTAAAATTTATGCCAATATTTTTCCATAGTTTATAATAATTAGAGTAATGCATATGCATTTTTTCTATAAAAAAAAAATCTTATTTTTTAGTGAAATTTTGCCGGGAATGGGGATTTAATAATATAAAAATACTAAAACAGTAGTTAAACAATTAATTATATTAATAATAATAAAGTTTAACCTTTGTATATTAAGATACGTGTCATGAAATGAGTTGTGGTGAGTAGCAATGTAGTGTTGATGTTCTTTGTGATGCAGGTGTAGTGTGACTGATATGTAAATGCACAGGTTGGCATGCACCAGTGACTTGGTTGAATCTACTGATTAACTGGTGGACTGAGCTAGAGGACGTAATTTGTTACTTTGACTAAGGCATGTACTCTACTTGAGTCTTAGCAAACGGCAAAGTTTTTTGTAGGTACTGCATGAACCATTGTGTGTGTAAATTGGATGTTGATTGCCTGAAACCATTTGTCAAAATAAAGTCAAGACAATTTGGTTGTATAAAATTGTCTAATAATAATCAATTCATCCATATATAGTTACTGGTTCCTGGCAGGTACTGACTTCAAAGCAGTCAACATTGATGTTATTCAAATCAAACCGAAGCAGCATAAAAATTAAAAAAAAGATGTATAAAAATGTAGTACATCATTACCTGGGGCATCATCGTAGGGGCAAAGGCCGTCCGGTATTACAGCTTGGAAGTCCTCTCCTACACTAATTTCCTGTGGGTTAAACATGTATATAAATGAATTCAACATTAGTCACCACAGCACTTGTCTTTATTGAGCTGCAGACCACATTACTGCTTAAAATAGCTTATTAACTGGTCATTTTTCCTTTATTTTAAACAAGTATCAATACTCCTCAAAAGACCTCTTGAAATCCCTTTTTCCTTGTTTTAAATAATAAACTACACAACACTTCCTAAAATTCTCCTTACAATCTAACTTTTCCATTCTTGCTAAATCATGCATGATTGTTCTTTTATGATGTGATGTTATGATCCTCTCTTGACTTGGTGAGTGCAGAACGTGTTTCTAGTGAAAAGTGCAACTAATAAAAACATGGCAACATGAGCATTGGTAAGTGGGCGGAGCTTATAATGACGATCACCTATGGACGTTGAAGTTGACTTTATTTCCTGTAAGCTACAGCACACTGCGAAAGTATGAAAAAATTATGGTAAGCCTAAAAGCATGTCATCCTGTTGGTTTCATTTTTTTTTTCGCCCAGAATTTCCTGCAAATGAAAGATCAAACCAACGAAGAGGTCAATTTGGGTCACTGACGGGTCATGACTAACACGGTATTATTGCATTGCAGCTGAAAAGTGTACCACAAAACACATGTTTTCTAAATGCTAACCCTTTAATGCGTGCTAAAACACAGTTTTAAAACGCATTCCTAACTGTGTTTTTGTTTTTTGGCTGGTTTCTGCTTGGGAAAAAACATGTTTTAATAACCATCTAAAAACATGTTTTTCTGCTCAGTAGAGCTAAGGCCCTTAGTATGCTTGAAACTGTCAAAATATTGAGTTCATTTTATTGAGTTTATGATAGATGAACTTAATAATTAATCTATATTTCTACAGACCTGATGAATTTATTCAAGGATATTTAATTGTCATATAACCTTGGTGTCCAACTGTATAGGCTGGCTTACAAAGACTTCATTCAAAAATGGGTAAATCAAACCTTTACAATAGGGCCTTCAATATCAAGGTTAAGTTCTACTTATCAGGAAGGCAATAGGTTTGTTTACTCTTCAAACTTTCATGAAAGTATTAGTTTGCAGGTTGGTCCTAATGCTTGCGACCACTGGTCCCAGATGCTACAATTTCAGTTTTTATATAAATACTATTTTTTGTAGGATTGGAATAAATGTTATTGTGATTGATAGATTGTGATTCTACACCATTTTAAGCAATATGCAAAATATTCATTTGAAGGTGTGGATCTCTTCCAAAGCTTTGTCTACACTATCAAATTTCATCAAAAAAGCGTCATATAAAATGTGATGGTAAATAAGAGTTGAACATGTTCAACTTTTTTTTATACAATTTGACAGTATGTAATATGATGTCATCGTACCCATATATCATTTTTTTGGTCACATCAAATTCGATAGTGTAGACAAAGCTTAATACATGTTACTTTGTTTACCATCACATATTTCAATATATAACTAAAGTAAGCATACTGGTTTTAACTAAAATAATATTCTCCCATTTGATTATACAGTCACATTGTTTTGCCTTTCAATAATTTCTAAATTTACATTTAACCTATCTGTTTACCTTTTTCCAGTCATGTTGGGGAATATATTCTGAGTCTTCAGAACAGCTATCTTCTTCATCGTCAGGAGTGTGATGTGTAGTGGCTAAACAAAACAATATCAGTTCATAATAACATCACCTGGTATTCCAAGTTTTAAGTAACAACTTACAATAAAAATTCATTAAATAAGGCATACTGTATCCTAAATTTTATTGATGAAGATATTTAATACTATATGCATGGAAGAAAGCAACAAATACATTTAACAACTCACATCTGAGCAACCTAGCTGTTGCTAAACTTTCTGCATTATGGTCTGGGAAGAAGTCACTGTGTAACTCATCGGCATCCTCATCTCCAGCATCATTCACCAGGTTGTTGTCATCATTTGGCAAAAGGTCGCGACCTATCTCTTCTTTGTCAAGCGTCAAATCATTTGTTTCTAATATCTCATCTGTGCTGTTGTCAGTACTGTTTGCATCATCTTGAGGCGACCCATCCTGACGTCCACAGTACATAGCCATGAGTTCGTCCATTGGGATTTCAGCATCCTAAAAATCAGCAGAATTGATTACTGTAAATATGGAAGCTGTGTGCTTTGGTTGAGGAGCTATGTGTTAAAGGCCAAAAAAGTACTATTGCCCTCTTTAACATAATTTCCTAAAACATTAACATTTTGACCAAATCATGACGTACAAAACTTTGTTTAAAGGAATAGGCCTAAGTTAGGTAGAAGAGCATACGATACATGAACAATTTAAATCTGTCCACTGCTCTTAGCTTATGTTAGTTTGTAAATGCTTGCAAATATTGTCATAGTATTTTCCTTTACTTCCACACCAAAGTCATAAGTTAACAACATTTAGTATCAAAGGTCTGTTTGATGGGCAAAAAGGAACAAAAGATTCGTACAGTATACAGTAATATTACATTAGAACATATTGAGAAGGGTTTTAAAATGTGTTGTAAATATGGAAGTAAAATATTAAAGAACTTTGGCCATGTGAAAAAAATCAGTGCAGTTAAACACAATAAGTAATAAACAGTGGTAACAATCAGCTGTGTTTTTAAGACAGTGAGACAGACAAAACAAGTAGGGCCTTGGAATCACAACTGTAATTTTATCTCAAAAAATTAAATATAGCTAACATTTTTTTTCATCTTTTCAGAGTTAAGATTAAGAACATTCAACATGCTGATAGGTACGACTAGCTGAAAAACACTTGGTAGAAACTGGGTTACATTTATCTTTACAAGTTTATAAGCTTTGAGACACTGATCATACTTTTCCTTTTACTATCAGGATGTAAATAAATAACATTCTATCACACTTAATACAGGAAACCGATAAGAGAGGCATAGATTATTTTGTACCTTCTCCAGGTCGTTCAGTTCCTTTGCAGCACTGTCACTTCCTTCCTGGTTCTCTTCATCCTCCAAGGTTCCCTCGTCATCATAATCATGGACCATCATGTCCGCTGTCATTTCAAAATCCCGATCTGGGCCCTCTGTTAATAAAGAAGAGATGTAATTAAGTGGGGAAAATTACATCAGGAAAAAAATGGCGACCAAATGAAACATGTCCAACAACTTAAAGTCCTGAACTGAAGGTCCCTTTAATAGACTGACAGAATTAAGTCATGTGATTTCAAATTTAGTACCATTATGTTATCGTTTATATATTATTAAAATTGTATACATTAATAATAGAATTAAGCTATTCCAAGAATTGGAATAAATGGCAACCAACTAGTATAAAATTCAGGTTGGTAGACAAAACTTTAGATTCAAAAGTTGAAAACAATGTCCACAAGAGAAGTAAATAACCATAAAATATCCTTATTAAACCCAATGAAAATAAGTATGTTTTTTTTGTTGCTTGGAGCTGCATGGTTTTGGTTTTTGAATATGTTGCTATAGAATCTTGCTGTCTTGTGCAATAACACAGCCAACATTTACTGTGATCAAATTAAATCCTTAAAGTTAAGGTCTTCCAATTTTAATCTCAAGGTTGATAAAGTAAAAGAAATTTACAAACCTGGACTAGAGTCACTTCCTACTGTTGGCTGAAAGCAAAATAAATAACAGTTACATTTTTGAAAAACATTAAATATTTTTCGTATCTGGTTTATAGGAACTGATGCAATGATTATTCCATTTGTTCTGCAAGTTTCATATATTCAAAATGTAAACTATGTAGAGGGTTCGTTCATACATAGTACATCAACTGTGAAATATACAATCAAATAAGCATTAAATTATTGGAAATTGCATTTTAGCCCTCCTTCTAAAACACATGTAGAGTTGCAATGGCAGAGAACTTGGGATCAAATGTCTGAAAGGATCTGCATGGCTTTGTGTACATACAGTGGCTACTAACAATATCATCGATGCCTACACAGCATCACATAACATTTTCTATTAAGGCCGAAAGCGACTTCAAATAAAGAGGAAAAAACAATTGCTGGTGCCTAACATTTGAGAAAAATCTTCATATACTAGTTTCATTAATTTTGAGACTGGATGTTGCAATGGCATCATGGTTAAGAATGTGGCCTTAAATGTCAGCTGCTGAGCAAGGTTTCTGTCTGTTTCACCCATTAACAAAAATAAAATTTGCAAGTTACTGGACTGCTGAATTATTATTTATCACATAAATTTGAAAGACTATGCTGGTTCTCACAGCAGTCTGATTTAGGGGGCACACCACTGCATGCCATCCCTTACCACCAAAAATCAGTGTTTAATTTTTTATAAGTGACCACTTTTATTCAGATTTCAAAATATCTGTAATTATTTGTTTGATAATTATATATTGAACTGAAACAAAGTCACAGTTTTGGGGAAAATAACTGCTACAAGCACATACTTCAAATTGCCAACATTACTACAAATTCAATTCTGGTGCAAAATGGTTTGTGGCTGTTGTTGCCATTTCCTGCTAATTCTAGATGAAAATATGTGAAAATATCAAAACCATGACTATGATTCACAATATTAGTCATTAGTATTAGGCCTAGATTACAAATGTTCGCTTCATTGTATAAGAAGATGGGAATTTATTTAAATTCATCATAATTGCATTAAAATTTAAAAAAAAACTTTTATCAAAAATAATAAATCCATCGGCATATGCCTAGGCAACTCATGGATTTGGTTAGATTAAAGATTTAAGATAATTTTATTGTCAGAAAAACTTGGAAATTATATTCCACGGGCAGTGTAACACAGCATAATGTAATCAGTGAAAATTATTATTTTTATGTTCTGGCTTTAGTTAGATTAGGCCAAGACCATACATTCTCATATCAAATTGAGCTTTCTCTAAATTCATACAGTTACAGTGTACTGCTGTAGGCCTACAATAGTCCTGTTCTGCTACAGACGGGCTTCAAAGTATTTTTTTCTCGTTAACTTTATTGAAGTGCAGTCGCGTAAATAACATTTAGTTCGTCAAATACAATTCATATTTAAATGTCTTAATTGGCAATATTAATGAAAGGTAAGACGTTTTTTCCAACTTTATTTCACTTCGGGTTCAGATACACAGGCCTCGCCAAATAAAACTTTTTGAACGATCGCTCCCGACGTTTGTCATCCGCACACACGGAGTGAGTGCGTCACTTTCTATCTACGGTCTTTCTACACCGCCTAACTCTTGTGTGTGTGAGCGACGCCTACGTTCAAAATATATAAAAAAAAGTCGATCACTGCCTACGTCGCCCATTTCAAATATTATTTGTATCACAGCAACACTGTATTAGTCCCTGAAAATTCACATCTGTAATACTAACATATCTATTGTATTCTACAGAAAGTATGAACATAATCTAAATATTCTAAATACAAAAATATTTCGAAATAAAGCTGGTCTGTAACTCTACTTCCAACTTACCTCCGCCATTCTCGCAAACTATTATGGGATGGCAGTTAACTGTAAAAATAACCCGTATGGGAATTCCCATCGTGAGGTCACTGGTTGGTAGTAGAATTCTGATTGGCTGTCTTATATACTCTTGGAAAAAAATATTAAATAAAGCGGATTACATTGAATATAGACATATAACTTATAACTGTGTAATTTGTGGCGCATATATATAATTTTTGTATAAGCAAACATGTATATATCCATAAAATAATGCAGTTCCATATTGTTTATTGTATCAAGAAATGCCAAAACGAAGGGAAACCCCTTCTAAATTAACCAATGAGATGCTTGGTTACATCTGAGTCTAAAATCGTCTCATGGCAACATCCAACAAAAAATAATGTGTGTTGAGAGAAAACCAACACTGAACAGATTAGAGTTTGCAAGAATGCAATAAAACATGCTACTGTATTTGAAAACCTAATAGCATACAATAACTTAGTGTTGTATCTAATAATTATATGTAAACGAATTCACGATGTCGATTGAAAAGTCAAAAACAGGGTAAGTTCTGATCTTTTTAGGCTAGGCTAGTTGTTAGGCCCTACCTAGCTAGGCCTAGCCTACTAACTAGGCCCAGCTGGCGACGGAGCATAGCCGTCGTCAGGCACGCCTAGGCCTAGCTAAACCAGGCCTATCGCCTTCCCACTAGCTAGGGCCCTGCTAGAGTAGTAGGCCTAGGCTAGGCATATAGGTACTAGGCCTAGGCAGGGCTTTAGCCTCTCCCGGGTAGGCTAGCAGCTTAGGCCTAGGCTAGATCTCCTCTAGCTCTACTAGGCCTACCTGACATAGGCCTACTACTACTAGGCCTAAAAACAATATAGGGATACCTAGGCCTAGGTCATTATTAATTAAAATACTATTATTTTATTAATAATGGGTCCGCTGAGTTATTAAAATTATAAAATAATATTTAATAATAATAAAATAAAACTTTTGCTTTTATGTAGGCCTAGGCCTAAGAAGTTATTATATTAAGCTGCAAGCTGCCTACTATGCTGACTGAATGTCTGCTCAGCATTGATTATTATTTATTTGTGACTTGGTTTTCTGGTATGAATATTTACAAGACAGAAAGTAGTAAAAATCTATTGCTAAAAGACATACCATATATTCTCATATAATTTCCAGGAATATGTTAAAAGTCAACACGCACTCCCATTCTACCATTACACGTAGCAAGGTGTCCACCATGAGTCAGAGCAGATTAGGAGGTAAAGGTGGGGCACAGATAGCGAATGCATCCAGAGCCACAATGTCATCTAGCCGTCGCAGTAACACCGCATTAGAAAGTAACATAGATGGTAAAATGCCACCAAGCAAGTCTCATGTCGTTCAGGTAGATAGAATATATTTTAATTATTAAATTTAATAGAATATATTCTCTTTATTTCAGTATTTTCATTTTTTCAAGCAATGAAATCTCCATTATTTGCTTTTTATATTTGAGTGGGAACCAGTCAATTCAAGAGGATGCCACTTCAAGTGAATGCGAGTCCGAGCAGATTTCAGCGGAATTTACTTCGAGCGGATGCCAGTTCGAGCGGAAAAAGATTCACTTATGCGAACAACAGCCTGTGCGAGTTATGTACGAATGACTTTAAAATTTCCTATTTTGAGCTAACAATTTGCATTCGGCCAAGACTCAAACTTTGCATGGGATGGGAGCCAGGGGAAAGCCCCGGTGTGTTGGGGGGAGTGGAGAAGCATAGCCATATGTATAAATCGTATTTAATTGATTTTTTGGTTAACAATTTACAATTAAACATAGGCCTACCTATGTTCATAAAAATAATGATTTATCTTATCTTAGTCAATTGTAATTTTGTTATTCCTTCCACTCATTTAAGAAGGGGTTTTTAACTATTATAGACGAATGGTGAATAGTGGGGAAAATTGATATCAGACTGTACTGTTGAAGTCTTGTCATGCTACACCAATGATTTGTGCACCTTTTGACAATTACAATTAAAGTTGCTTGCTCGCATTTACAAATGAAAATCATTAAATACAATTACAACACTATATAATTCAATCACAAATATAATTTGTTTTTTAAATGCAAAACCCCTACTAGAGACACAAACCTTGAATTCAGAATGAAATGTGAAATTCAATAGTTTAAAAATAATATAAGTGCTTGTTAGCAGCCATCTGCTAGTCAGATTTGCCAAGACTGTAATTCAAACATAGAATAATTATCAAAAGTAACAAAAACATTTTAAAATTTTAGTGCACAGAGCATTTTTGCATTTAAAACAAACAAAAGTACAGTTTCACAAATACAACAATAAGGCAGCGATAAATTCGCCCTTGTTATAGTTCGCACCAAATGCATCCCCTCAAACTGGAATTCGCTTGAACTGGCATCCACTCGAACTGGCATTCTCTCCAATTGACTGGCTTTTGTTTGAACCCCTCAAGTCAGCATTGCTATTATGGCTACTCTCCTCCTGAAATATTTTTGAATAAATAAATACCTAAAATTTGCTTCTTTTTTTTGTTTACATTTTGTTAAACCCAGGGAGTGGAGATTTCCTACACGCAATGCTTGTACTGTCTATGTTTTTTGTTATTTTTTTTCTCGTTTTTATGTCATGTACAGTACAATATTTATGCTTATAACTGAATATATAAATAAATTACTATAATACCAGCCATTCAAATTTCAATTATACCAGTATATCCTATCATATTAAGACAATTCCTTTTATCAGCATTGAATTTGAAATGTAAACTTTGATGAAATAAAATGTTTGTGTTTCAGGTGTTTGATGAAGCTGGCAATGATGTCACCCCTCAGCCACTACTGATCATTGATCCAAATACTGTCAAGCACAACCAAAGTAAAATATTTGGAGCAGATTCAGGTGGTGGCACTGTAAGCACTTCTTATCGAGTCCATACACAAGTTCATTCTCTGTTGGGCTATATGTTTGTTTAGTTCTGAAACTTCAAGATACGATTTTCATTAGTGGTGAAAGGATTGGTAGGGACAGGGCCATGACATGAACGCTTTTTTCTGGAATGTGCTAGGTGTACACAACCCTTATCATCAAATGTGCAAGAACGTCTCTTCTTCCTACATTAAGGACCATAATAGCACATCCAATACCCATATACTTCTTCATGCTAGCTACTAGTCTCCCCGAAGGATCAAGAACACCAATTAACATGCATACATAATACCATTATTCAATCAAGAAACCAATCAGCAATTAAAATGCACAGTACATATATTCATTTTGAAGCTTCTTCTATGCAAACTATATAGTGATAGTATTATGTATGCATGTTAAATGGTGAGAAAATTATTTCCTCATTCCAATATTAAATTGAAAGGTAATAATTAATTTATATAAGTATACAAAATAAAACATTTAAATCTTGAATAATATTGTTCATGCATTTTTGAAAATCTTAGTAATCATGTATCCCCTTTAGCCTACTGATCTGATGTCACAGAACTCCATCTACCAAACTGGCACCACAAGTTTCGCAGCACCTTTCAGGAGGTCAATTTTTGGTACAAGTATGACCCAGTCAGGAAGGTCAACACCAGAGTCGTTTACCGATGTCATCATTGAGCCGACGGAAGGACCAGATATAGTGACCGGTCTTGCAGGTAGGGCATTTCTATTTGTAAATTTTCTTCATTATCTTCAGTTACCGTGTGTGACATTCCTATGGTTTTTCTAGTATTACAGGTTTATAGATGTTAATAACTGTAATATTAAAAATGAAATACAGCTGCATTGTTTTTTTTTTTTATTTGTATATTATGATAATGCAGTCATAATAATCTATATTATGCCCCACACAAAACTGTATGCTACTAGAAAACTTGGTATGAAATTGAGACTTTTAAAATTACACAGTAGTAGAACCCCCATTGTGTCCAGTGACTGGTATGAAAACAAAACCCTATTGACAAATGCCTGTTTGGAGACTTTGTCAATTATTGATCCAGATCCAAGTCTTGCCTTTGGGACACCCCTAGTAATACCCTTTTCACACTAGCAGAAGGGTTTTCAACTTTAACAAAAACAAGTTTTAACAACTTTGATTTCCCAAGATATTGTCTTCGTTTCACACACACAGTAATCCAAATATGCAAAATCTCGGGAGAAAAGCAGTAGGCCTAGATATCTATGGTAATCTTAGTGCATGGCAAGGCCTGTTTTTCTTCTCTGATATCGCAGCTGGGTCCACTGCAATATTTCAGAAAGTTTTACATAAATTTGCTTTCACACTACACAAACCTGGTGACAAGTTGTTACTATTTGCAAAATTTTGGCAGTGTGAAAAGGGTAGAAGGGGAAACTTTTTTTAAACGAGAATGGAATGATAATATATTTAGGATACTCAAGTCAAAAAATAATTATTCCTCTTTACTCAATTTGTTTCTTAGATGTTCAGACCAGAAGGGAAGAGGTAGCCGAAACATTGACAGAGGATGACCTTGACAAGATACATGAGATCACTCTTTCAGAATCTGAGATGTTTTGGTTACTTGACATGCCAGGTGTGTGCATATCAGCTGAGAGTGATGAAGCTGCAGAAGTTAAGAAAAGAAACGAAGACTATAAACAGGTATGATTTTATTGTTTTCATGCAGATTAAGGTTGAGAGTCCGAACCACACTGCTGTGCCAGCATTTAAGAGAAAATCGAAGCTTTTAAGCTGTATTTAAACTTTTTTTTTCCTATTAAGTGTTTTCTATAAAGGAAGTGTATGCTAAGTTTGCACGCCTTGTTCGCAAGCTTTGCTTTACCAGGATTAAAGTCACTTGTGTCATGGAATGAAAAATTCATTCAGTACTTTATTTTGGAACAAATTTCCATATAAAAAAATAAATAAACTTATACATTCAAACTACATCCCGGGGTAAGACCATTCAAATCCTAAGGCCGAAGCTATTCAAGTGGGTTACAATTTAAGTGTGTTACAAGTAATAATGATAATAATAATAAAACAGCACTTATAATGGGCCAATTATCTAGTGTTCTATTCCAGATCAGATGAAATATAAGTTAAAGAAAGTTATAGGAATTTTAATAATAGGATGTCTATTATGATCATACAGTAGTTGTAATTGTGTCCAGCAGTGTTCTCCCAATTGAAACATTTTTACTGTTAAATTTGTCCATTTAAAGCCAGCTAAGCATGTGTAACGTGAGGTATAGCCTCTTTTAAGTGGAGTTCAATAGCTTAAAAAAACAATACATATAGTCATAGCCTAGGCCTGGACTGGAATGATGTTCATTTAATGAAAGAAGGCCAGCCTAAGCTACCTAGGCCTCATAAGTGCTTTTTTAATCTACACACACAATTTGTACTTGTTGGTCGGTTGTTTTTACTGGTAAAATTGACGTCCAAAACGGCTTTGGGAGAACACTGGTCTAATTATTCCTGGCTTCACTTTATGCATTACTGTTGATCTTGTTATTAAACTTGATGATTTTGCTTTCTGGTTAGCTGTGTTCATCCAAAGAAGGCAATGATCGCTATATGAATCGAGGAATGCAATGTTTTAATGAAGCCCTCAAGACTAAAGACATACAGACCACCAAAATTGCAATGATTGTAAGTAAAGCCATTTGTTTCATATAGAGTCAACCAGATGTTATATTATGTATTTAAGTTTGTCCCAATGATATTGTAAATATATATTATAGGAATATGTTTTGTCACCATGTGACCACAGCAGATCCAGAGTTTCCCTTCCCAGTGTCATTCAAGTGACCATGACAGATTTAGAGTTAAAAAAATCTTTCCATTGTCATCTTAGTGGCCATAGCAGATCTATAATTTACCCGACCCAGTGTCGTCAGTTACCATGGTAGTTTAAAGTGTCACTTCCAGAGTTATCCAAGTGACCTGGCATATTCAAAGTTCTCCTCTCCCAGTTTTGTTGATCTGGATTAATTATACTCCAAAAAAACGGATACCCGCATCACATCAGAGTTTTATTAACCTGACCCCTTTTTGATAGTTTGCAAACCTGAAATTAACGAAGCCAACCTCCAGTATACTGTATTTAAATTAAATCTTGGAAATTTTTATCTGGGTGAAGTACCTGAATTTGAATTTATAGATCAGTTAATTTTTGTATAAAATGTTAAAATTTAAAAAAAATAAATAAATTTTAAAAATTATATAGTCTTATACAGTATTGTAATATATTCTGTTTTAATGGTTATGTTTTTTGTGAAGCTGGGTGGTCGAGGACTGCATACTTAATGTAATAGTGATTAGCAAAGAACTTAAATAGCAGAAGAATGAGCTGCTCCGCGTATTTGCATTAAAATCGATGGAAAATTCACCCTCCTGCGGTTGCAGTAAAATTTGAACATTTTACTAAGTGGAGAAAGTAAAGGAAACAAGCGAACAAGAGCAGCGCCTTTATTATTTTTATATAGCGCCGCCGCGCGGTTGCAGTAAAATTGCTCTCCGTGTACCCACAATGCCTTTTGAACGGATGTTCCACTATATTGCGAAGCTGCTCTATCTTCTGCTATTTATTTAGCTTTACTTTTGAAGTCCTGCCCGACCACCCAGTGGATTGTTTTGTGAACGTCTTGTTTTGGCAATAAAAGAATAAGAATATGAATAAGAAACCTACTGGAAGTGAAGTTTTACTGTTAAAACTGTTAAAACTGTTAGTACTGTTCTGTAATACGTCAACAATTTATTCTTAAATGGTGAAATATTTAGTCTTCTTGTAAATTGGAAATTAGATTTTTTTTTTTTAAAGTTTAATTTTAAATTTTCCAGGATGAAGAAAGCACAGCTTGTACATGGGATATGTACGATACATACCTAGAGCTAGATAATAAACAAGGTAAGATCAACTGTTTTTATTTCATTCAATTTGTCTTAAAACATTAATAGTACATTACACTCTAATAAAGCGTCACATTTAGAAACAATGAGACAGGAATTAACGGAAATATCAGGATCTGTGACGGAGATGCAGGATCTGTAAGAGAGGTACAGAATCCGTAACAGAGGTAATACAGCAGAGAGTATTGTGCATTTTAACTCATCATGAAAAGACATTTAGATATTCCAAAAACCAAACTGTCTGCTGAAACATTCCTGATGATGACATAATGTCGAAAAATATTAAATCCCAACACGATAGCGTGCATTTCAATACTTAGGATATGTATTATACTTTCTCTTTTAGCTATGGTTAAGAACTTTTATTTTTTAAATATATTTTTAAAAATTTAAATTGCACTAATTACCATCATTATACTAATGTAGTTAGATTATATAGCGCTTTATACCGAAACAGTCTCAAAGTGCTTGAGGTGTGGACTAGCTCTTTCAGTAACTTGCTTCCCCCCTAAGGGTCTCTTCATGTCTAAGCTACCCATTAAACCGGTACCAGCTACTCTTGTCTGTCCACAACAGGGGCTGTATGGACACAGGGGTAATCCCCTACTCGTCTTGAAAGATGTACTGGGTTCTTTTAAGTGCACACAAGCCAAAGTCTGTTTTTTTTTTTTCAATATATAGCCACTGATGAAACAGCTACTGCAAATAAGACATCAAGCACACATTCCCAACGTGCTGGCTCAAGTACTCCTCAGGCCGCAGACAAACAGCAGTCAGCCCCTGGCAGCATAACAGCAGAGGGAGGTACAGCAGCAATCCATTAATGTTTGATTTTGTAGCTCTGATAAAAACACAAATCTTTAAATTGTTTCTCGTTTACTTCCGGTCCTGACCTGGGACTAATGCTTACACTTATGACAGTGATAAATTCAGTATATTGCTTGCATATTAATCTTGATAAGATGCAGGGGTTTGAGGTAGAAAGAAAATATAATTCAAAAATTTATGTTTTATTATATTTATTTTATTAAATAGAGAGCCAAAAATATGAAAAAAATATAATAAAGAAGCAGAAAATTAATTGGTTGGCAAAAAAAAATTATAATTTTAAAAATCTGCATATTTTCAACATTTTAAAATTATATGCAAGCTTCATATGAAACACCTTAAATACAATATCAAACAAACACTGTCGTACTCAATTAGATTAAGTAATATGTGGCAAAGACAAGCCAAACCAGTCACTCGTCGCAAATCGTGTTTTAGAGAAAATGGCCAAAACATGCTGGGAATGATAAATTTTAGAAAATCTATTTTATTGCACTAAAATAACCTTATATATCTATACATCATGTTATGCTGTTATTTTCCCCATTTCCAATGATAAAACAACACTTTTTAAGGATTTGATGATAGTTTCTGCATGAGAAATGCCCAAAATCATAAACTTTGAAGGCTGATTTCTCATATTGTTCTTTAAACAGCTGTATGTTTAAATGCTTGTAACTTCATAAGGAAATGTCGGATTTCAATAATTTTTTACCATTTTATAGCTCTTATTTTACTCTTTAACACTGTATTAATAACTTCTATATAACTATGTATATTTATCATGGACTTTTCTTTTTTTTTATCCAATATTGTTTGTTACATGTCCTTTTCAATTGTTTCAATATTTGATTTTCAATTTCTAGTATCCAGAAAGAGTGTTCCATTGTGAAGCAGGTGTAACATCGATGGACTTCTCAGTAAATAATCCCAACCTACTAGCTGTGAGTTGTTTTGAAATACACTCTTTTATTATGGCTGAAGTGAGATGGGGCTATTGTAGTTGTGTTGGTCTGAAGTCAGAGGTTAAAGTTGGCATTGGCACTGATGATGTTGGGATGTTAATCCCCCATTTGTTTACTGGTTCCGATGGATCATCATTGAAGAACTAGAATAGTTTGAGGCATTGTTTGATAGGGGAACTTTTAAAAAGCATTAATGCCTATTGCTTTTGTCAATGTTGTAAATGATTACTTATCACAGGTTGGTCTTTACGATGGTACAGTTGCAATCTATAATGTGAGGAGTATGAAAGATGAACCAGCTCTCGACAGCTAGTAAGTTACTGTTAAAAAAATGAATGAAATAATTAAATATAGATTTTTAGAAGCATTAATTATTTCATGTTTGCATGAATCTATCTTCTATCACCTGGCATACCTGCATAAGTTGACAGTTGGCTAACTGTCAAGGAACTCAGCCGCGTTCTTTGTTATTGCTTACCTGATGCAACATCAAACCACTGACCGTAAGCAGAAGTCTGCACATCGTTGTTGGAAACATTCTGTCACATGTGTTGTCATGTTTCCTCTCAAGCCAAGCTTAGCAAATCACGCAGACTATTATGTAACTTTTACACTTGAATGGTTTTGTATGGATTCCTTTTCTCTACAGTGAGAGCAATGCAAAGCATTCAGCACCTGTTTGGGAGTTAAAGTGGATTGAGAAGGACCGCGGATCAGGGGAAGATAAAGGGGAGATGCTCATATCAATCTCTACAGATGGTCGAGTCAGCCAATGGCAGATCAGGAAGGGTTTTGAATGTGCAGATCTCATGAAACTAAAGCGGGTTGCAACAAAGGGCAAGCGGCAGAATAAGGATGGACGTGAGGTGAAGAGCGAGGCTCTAATTTCACGACACGCTTCTGGATTTTGTTTTGATTTCAGCCCAAAAGATGCTAATATGTGAGTTGTTACTATTTTTAGTCTCATAAGTTGATAATATTTATTTTGAGCCGGTAGTCATTCATGTATGTCTGATGCAATTGTGGACATTCTGAGTTCTGAGACTGACACTTTTAACCAAATTCTAATAGAGTATTTGTCAAGTTTTCAACAATTAATGCTGTCTAAATTTGTTTTTAGCTACTTGGCTGGTACAGAAGATGGACTCATCCACAAATGTTCATGCTCCTATAATGAGCAATACCTAGACAGTTATCATGGACATACGGTATGTATTCAAGGTGGCGTGGATATCCTTTCCACAGCACATTCTTAAAAGCTCCAAGCTTTATCTGAAATGGAATACCTTGCTATATTATTTTTACTTTTTTTTTTTTAATCATCTTATTGTAACTGGTAATTGTAAGTATATGGATATATTTCCGAAATAAAAAGAGAATGAATGAATGAATATAGACTCTGTTTTCTGGTAAAGTACTAGGTCATGTTGACATTTGTCCTACGTGTTGATGACCCAGGTTTAATACTGGAGAGAACGATTCTCAGTTCACTAAACCCCATCCCTTGGATATTGCTACTGAGGTCCCACAAACGACAGCTTAAAAATATACACAAACACATGCATTTGTAGGACAACTTGTGTGTATGCAAGACATGCGTATTGCTGGCCCTTCTGATTGGTCAGTTGTTAACACTCCGGAAAGGTCTATTGAGTACCTGTTTGAAATATAATGGAGAGGTTAAAAATCAACTGGCTACCCTACTACTACACAAGCATCTTGACTTTGTGTGATGGGCTCCTAACATCTCAAATCCTCAGTTCAGTAATGAACACTGTACGTCTGTTAAATTTATATAGTTAGTCTAATCAAATAATTTTGCTACTGTCTCAACAGGGCCCTGTATATCGTATTGAGTGGTCTCCATTCCTCCCTGACGTCTTCCTAAGCTGCAGTAATGATTGGAGTATACGTCTCTGGCAGCAGGACCATTTACAACCTGTGCTCAACTTCTTCTCATCTACGGTAGGTGGATCTCTATTTCTTCTCATCCATCCATCAGAGAACTATTCATAAATTTGTTGATACACTTTTGGACTGTTGATATTAAAATTGCTATTAACTTTTTTTACAGAAATCTGTTATGGATGTATGCTGGTCACCGACTTCTGCTTCTGTGTTCGGTTGTGTCAATGAAGGTGCTATTGAGATTTGGGATGTGGACCAAAATACGTAAGTCGAACATCTAATTTTGATTAACAGGCAGATTATGAACTCCTGGGTGGAGAGGGACAACCGTAGGTAAAGTGCCTTGCCTAAGGACACAAGCGAAATGCACAGCGAGGAATTGAACCTCCGACCGCAAGGTTGAGAAGCGGAACTGCAACCACCCACTGCACCAACCCGCACAAAACCTAGACAAAGTGGCAAGATATTAAAACATATTGCGCTATATAAATGTTGCATTATTATTATGATTTTATGAAAATAATACAGTGAAAATATCAAACTTAAAAAATGTTTTACCTAACAACTTGATTTTCTTCAAATGGCAGTGCTGTCCAGGTTTCAAAACATCAGGTGATATGTATTTTTTCTATGCTAATGCAAGTTACAGATCATTATATTTCATCTTTATTAATATTTACTTCATTTATAATATCAGATTGGATCCGTTAATAGTGTCAGTTCCTGCTCCGGGAGTGAAGTTGTCCTGCCTTACATTCGCTCACAACTCAGATGTAAGTAGGCCTGCACTTTTAAATCTGAATATCTCTATTGTAATTTACTTTGACTTACCTTCTAAACTATTACTTTTTGGACCTGAAAATTTAGAGATTTCTGTCTCCAATTAAAGGATTAGCTTTGTGTTAAGCGATTGAAGATTGTCAGTTGATATTCAGAAGTATTTTCCAGATTTTAATAGTTTTATATATTTAAAAAAATTTAATTATTTAAGGTTTGTATATTACAATTTAATTTATAATATTTTGATCATTTATTTATATTTTATTTACCAATATACAATATTCTATTTATTTTAATTTCACTGATCTCCTTCAATGTCTACAACATATCAAACAAGTTTTCCTCCAGCACCTGGCTTTAATTTTATAACTCAATTCTTAAGTCATCTTTTTTTCTGGGATGAGTTTCTAAAACCGAATGTTGTTATTGAATGCAAGGAGTAAGCTGACAGCACATCTGTAAATGATTTCAATCTTAATATTTTTATTTTTCATAAATTCTATAACTTTACATGTAACTCAAATAAGCATAGTAACTTGCAATCTGTAGTCATAGCAACAGTATCTTTAGATTAATTTTGAAAGAAGCAGTGATTTGCAAGCTTCTTTGATAGTTAACCTTCTAATGGATAAGTTGCTTGAAGAAAATCTCCGACTGACTTTACTGTACTTCCTTAGTAAATTCATTCAAATCCCAGTCACTAATTTTAACACTGCACATCATACTAATGAACATCTTGTTGGACTGACAATGCTTCTTTCCATCTATTACTCCTGAAAGGAAATAGATGTTGGTTAGATTTCTCAAATTATAATGGCATTCATCCAGCTTCTGAGAACAAGAATGTAGACTAGGATTTCCTTGCTTGATGAGATAACAATTAATTGAATTATATAGCAAATTGTGAAGTTATTTTGATGACTAGTTTCCAATAATGTCTTTATATTAATTGCTAAATACAGTATGTAGAAGTTTCCAGCATTACCATTTTCAAACCTTTAAATAAAGACATAAACATACTAACCGGGTATACTACTGGTTTTGATACCACAATGTTGCCTTTCTCCTGTAAATGTAAAAGACAAAGTTCCATGAAGTGTTCACACAGACTTAAAATACAAATTCAGTGCTCTGAAAGTTATCAAGAATTGTTAAAAATACCAAATTAGCAGTGATATGATTGAGATACCCTTCATATGGGGTGTTCACTTAGGAACATCTGCCAATATATTTGTTAATCCAAGTATTCACTAAGAGGTGATTCACAATTATCAACATTTTCGCAAGTGTACAAACTGTAGTCTCTTCCTCCCCGTCCCCCCCCCCCAGCTCTTCTCTGAAAGTAAAGTCACATGTCCATCATGCACCATTATTGCCACTTGTGTGTGTAGTGTTAATTTATTATCAACATGAATATCAAAATCACAGATAACATCAGCATCATCAATATGTACATTCATTTGTCTCATCCCGTATACAGTATAATGTAAAGGTTACTAGAAAGAAGCTCTTACCCCAACATGGTATTTTATAAAGTAATAAGTTAGCCAAAACGGAACGACGATCCTTGCCATGAACCGACGTGTGTACAGAAAATAATGAAGTGGTTTGTAGTTCTGTAGAATAGAAGGAAATTAAAAATATATAAACTAATTAATTATCAACTAATTAACAATACATTAATCATATAATATGCAAGGTGGTGGGAGGGGGAGGATGATAACAAATGGCATATCAGCCAATGATAGGCGAACATTCCTAACTATTTACCTTGGGCCTGTTTCTACTGACGTTAAGAACCACTGTTTTTAAGAACGGTTCTTTGTGAAATAGAAACGGGGCCCACAAAAAAGAACCGTTCTTTTTTGGTGTTCCAGAGAACAGTTCTTTGGAACAGAATCAATACGTGCCGGGAATGCCAAAGAACCGTTCTTCGAACAAAAGAACCGCTGTTTGTGGGGTAGTGTTTAGCTGCAACATAAATAGCAGCATAATTTCACCTAAGGTCAACTTAGCCAGAAAGCTAGGCCTATGAATAGTACTAGTAGAATTGTTGAAAAGAACATAATTGAGAATTAATTTTTATCAGACTTTGTAAAGTACTTCAGATATCAATAGTTTAGGCCTCCCACATTATTTTACCTTTGACTCTTTTTGAGTATAATATTAAGATCTTTATTAATGTTCCACCATGCCAGTGATACAGTAGGCCTATCACTGATATAGTAGTACGAACCAAATTATAATTTTATATTATGAGGAATCAGTAAAACAAATGTTAAACCTTTCTCCAGAACACAGTATCTCTTGTTAAAAGTACTGTAAGAAGAAAAGTTTAACCATTGTTTTATTTGAATACCAACATTAGTTGTATTCAGATGGGACAAATCATCATTGTTTGTTTGTACTGCACAAAAATGTTCTTGTTAAACCTTTTATTATAAAGGCCATTTTAAATTGCAAAATGAGTAACTGTTACGTCATGTATATGTAGTGTATCCGTTCGGTAACCGTTTCATGCGGAACCAAAAATGCAGTTGCAACGTGGTTCTTATCTTGCTAATCCGGTAATTAGCCAATGATAAGAGAACCGTTTCTTTCTCGATATTTAGTAGAAACCCTTGATTCTGAAATACTGTATTTTTTTAGGAGAATGATGAGGCAAGGCTATTTTATACCTTCTTTCACAAACTTTTTTTTTTTTTTTTAATTGTCAGAGGACAGAAAAAAAATTAAAATTAAATTTTGTCAAATAAAATAAAAACATTTTATTGGTGAATGTAAACAGTGAGTGTAGTGATGGGATGGTTAAATGCTTTTAATTAGGCAGCGGCGTGCGTATCAAGATAAGAAAAACTTTTCTGAACTTTACATCGAAATCATCCCTGATCAATACACAACTGACTCAGCAGCAGCAAACGACGAGTGTATGTTACAATTTTAATTAATTATGCATTTTTTACATATAGGCCCTATAGGCTAGCCCTTTATCTAGGCCTGGGATTAATACTAAAATAGGCTAGACTCTAACATTTATTAAATCAGGGAGTTGTTATAGTCACTATAACAACTCCCTGATTAAATAAGCCTTTGAAACCCATCAATAGGCCTATATATAAAGTATATTTTTTTTTTGGGGGGGGGGAGGTTTGGTCTTTGAGTGACCCCCTAACCACGTCCACTTTTTTCTCGTCGGGAACCTTTGTCCCCCTCCCCCTCGTTGGGTAAATCCTGGCGCCTCCCCTAATCCCTAGGACCAGCTAGCTTCTAGGCCTATGCTATGGGTGCTAGACCTAGGCCTTGCCTTTTTAGTGGCCTGCCATTTCTGAATCTGATCTCGACTTGAACCATAGTTAAATGATTAATGATTTGGACCAAATCAATTTTAGTATAAAAACAATATATAGGCCTAGGCCTAATGAAACGTACAAATCGTGCATTCAGGGGAGCAAATAACTTTCGAAATGGTGAATTTATAGCCTCAAAAAACTTGTTAGGCTTCTCGAACTGTTGCCGTGGAAGAGGTTCCCAGGCTTCAAGCTTCTGGTCCTTCAGATAGCGTCGTCTTCTTGATCTTTCCTCTTGTACCCATTTGTTTAGAACGTAATCACCCTTAGCCCAACTAGGAATTTCTGGATTAGCACCTGCAGGTGGACGATAGTCCAATCTAGCCTTTGAATATTCTGGAGAAGTCATCTTTAGTTGTAACTTCTGCAAATTTGAAAGTAAAGAGGCCTAGAGAACGATATCCACCATTTTTCGCTGCCTCACACACAGCCTCCTGCCAATATTTGCATTGAAAAGGGCCTTGAAAGCAACATATCGATCTCTGGCGGCGCGGCGGTGGTGTTGTCCAGCTATCAAACTTGAGACTTTTCCGTTGACCGCCAGTGGCGCGTCACGCTCGGGTGTTGACGGGGGAGGGGCGCCAGGGCCCCCAGGCAAGGGGGCCCGACATTTTATTTAACAAAGAGCTCGGCTCGGACTTAAAATATTTAGATACAGTAAATATTTTTTTCCTGATGTCTCCTTCATAATTACCAGGAAACAGTGCTGTTCCCTGATAATTACAGTATTTTATCATATAATTTTACTATTCAAGATCAAATCACTGCCAGCTGCCACGCGCGCGGCTCATGTCAATGGGGTAAGTTCGACTGTGAACGGCAGAAATATGCATTCTCATGAAGAAAAAAAATGTGGATTCCTAACAGATTTTCAGTTGTAATACCCTAAATTAGTAGCCAAACAGCATTTCCGGGTATCTGGGGAATTGTCGGTTGATCCCCGAACACCCCACCAGAGGGAGAGGGGTTTATAGAACAAAAGTCTCACGCCTGCAAATTTGTCAAACTTGGCATGTATGAGGGCCCATGAAACCTGTCTCTTATACACATCTAGATGTGTATAAGAGACAGATATTTATGGCATTTCAAATGTTATTTTTATCATTTGTGTTTTTTTTTTCCATGTTTTTTTTAAATTTTGTCTTAGTAGGTCTATATGTTACTTTTATATTTTATCGGATTGGAAACAAATAAATGAAAATGAAATTATAAACAGACTGCAGTGCGCCATCATTCAGTTTCTTTTTTATTGACTTGCCATATGACGTCACGGTTGTCCTCTCAACGAGAATCGGTCTCGGGGGAGACAGTTAAGATTGTACTTACCAATAAGGAGAAAGAAGATGGCGCTGCGTGTCGCCGAAGTGGAAGAGGCGGATGGTAAAAGTAAACAATTCGCCATGTAGCCTGCATAAATCCGTCAAATATTCTAGGATTGTACAAGTGCGTTGTGTAAGTACCCTAATTATAATATCGTTTTTGACGTCTTTTCGAATTCTAGGCCTTGTTTATTTTGAGATGAGAAACAAAGATTGTATTGTTTGATGAGATAAAGAAGTCCTGATGCCCAGTGCTACTCTCTTGCTTGAAGCATGGAGATACACTTTATTGCTCCAAGTCGGAAATTCAGTTATGCTTGAGAATACCCATGCTTGAAGCTTGAAGAGATGGAAGGCCGCAGCTTGCCCTTATCTTATTATAAAATTCTGTGAGGTTGTTTTAACTATTTGTTTGGTCAGTTCTCACCGGAACTGGTATCACTCACTGACACTGACACGAAAGGGCATTAGAGGGTCCCCCTTCCCGACGAATGACGTCCGGTTCGGCCGTACACTTGTTCGGCCGTAATATATTTGTATGGAACGCCAAATAGGCACAGAGCTGTGCGTATGCTATGTGTGTGTGGTTAACAATAATCTCCCTATTGTAATCTATTGCTACTGTATCCATGATTTCTTGTGGGAAAACAGTGGATTTTATTAATCCAAACGGTACAGTATTATTTGAAATAAAAAGAAACAACACATTTTCATTAGTAATCGTTATTTTTATTATAAGGTTCCCGTGTACCACCAGTAGAAGTAAAAACAAACAACACATTTTCATAAGTAATCGTTATTTTTATTATAAGGTTCCCGTGTACAACCAGAAGTAAAAACAAACAACACATTTTCATAAGTAATCGTTATTTTTATTATTAGGTTCCCGTGTACCACCAGTAGAAGTAAAAACAAACAACACATTTTCATTAGTAATCGTTATTTTTATTATAAGGTTCCCGTGTACCACCAGTAGAAGTAAAAACAAATAACACATTTTCATTAGGTAATCGTTATTTTTATTATTAGGTTCCTGTGTACCACCAGTAGAAGTAAAAACAAACGACACATTTTCATTAGTAATCGTTATTTTTATTATTAGGTTCCCGTGTACCACCAGTAGAAGTAAAAACAAACAACACATTTTCATTAGTAATCGTTATTTTTATTATAAGGTTCCCGTGTACCACCAGTAGAAGTAAAAACAAACAACACATTTTCATTAGTAATCGTTATTTTTATCATTAGGTTCCCGTGTACCACCAGTAGAAGTAAAAACAAACAACACATTTTTATTAGTAATCGTTATTTTTATTATAAGGTTCCCCTGCACCACCACCTAACCCGCGGTCAACATTGCACTGTACAGTACAGTGACATCCAATTCACGCTTTGATTATACACCACACGGCGTTCCATACAATAACCCTTATTTGGGCAATGAATATCATATGGCCGAACTAGTGTACGGCCGAACCGGTCCTACACCTTCCCGACTACTTGATTTGCAGGCGCGAATCCAGTAAGGGGGGGGGGGGTGCCCCGTCTTGCCACTAAATTTTAAAATTTCAGTGCATAGGCCTATCAACGTTGTATTGAAATAATTGCTACACCTATTTTGAAAATTCTGGATCTGCCCCAGATTTAAAAGGTATCTTGAGAATGGAAATGGATTGTTCCGACATGCCCTAGGTAGGGATACTGAAAATTCAGAGGCGGATCCACAGGAAAACCTGGGTAGGGGGTCATGCGATGATTTTTGTTTAAAAAATGCTTTACCATAGGCATAGGTCTACATGGAATTTAGATCTGGAGTGTCATCCCAGCTAACAATATTAATAATGTTACAGTTTTGTGTTATAAACATTATTTCGTAGAACCATAAGTAGGTCTATGTACTTTTATAATCGAATTTCACAGCGTCCTAATGTTTGAACGTACCTACAACATTGTATGAAAGTTATTTTGTGACATAATGTAATGTAATGTAATGTAGCTCTTATAACTTTCTTTTCTTTCCCTCCTTTTTTTCTCTTTTTTTTAAATTTTTGGGTGGGCGTGTGTGTGGGAATGAGAATTTAAGGCTGCGGTTCAACTCCACCAATCAACAACTTGAGTATGTGTAAAATTGTCAAAACAAATGTTTGCTATGTTTTTATTTTTTAATTACAGATTAAAGGCAATATGTGAGAGGCTAAGTATTCATCACAATGCAATTTCACAGTGTTCATGGTAAAAATATTGAACTCTCCCAAGATGCAACTTGCGCTGTACGAACCTCAAGCTTCAATTATGGCATTTTGTTTGGCAAAGAGCCAACCAAACCGTCAGTAGATCGGTTGAACGCATTTTGTTTCGCCGATAGCAACGGAGTAGTATCACATGGTATTGTGCGTAACACTGTAGTACTCTATATATGGTCATGATGTGCCTATATATTGTTGTGATATGATGTCATCATGACCATATTTAGGCATGTCACATGTTTTTGTCAAATAAAATTTGAACAGGACTTTAATTTTTTGCTCCAGACTCTGAAGCTGCTCCCATAGAGATCTTTGTTCGAGGTCCGGAGGCTATGGAAGCATTTTTAGTTGCATCCAGGAAAGGAACAAAGCCAGTGTATAGGACCTGTCTCTTATACACATCTAGACAGGACAAGTCGATTTACTGTTTGTAGAACAGGACAAGTCGATTTACTGTTCTACTTTTACTGTTACAATGTATGGACAAGAGAATAACATGACAAGCAAAGCTTTTACTCAGTGGGTCCCTTTTAAATAATAAAAAAAACCAAATTAAACAATTTCTTAGAGATACAGGTATATATATTAGGTAGTTTTCGCCGCACAACGTTAACCTTAATTTTAACATTAGTACCCAACATGCAACGTGATAACTCCGCCCCTTTTGTAAACAAATCGAAATACACATGAGCAAACCCGTAACTAAAGTCCGTCGAACATGTAAAAACCTGAAATTAACGTACTCCGCAACGCAAGATGAATAAATTATGATGTCATACGTTAAGGTTAACATCATGCAGCGAAAACTCCCTAATTTAAATAGGTTTAGTAACATTGCGTGTTGATACCATTTTACTAAAAATTGACACTGTTTGACCCTGCCTTAAGCTCTGCCACACTGTGAAAGTTTTTTGACAAAAAAACGGTTGTATTCCCATAGAGTATCACAGTTGTGTCGTCACAGCACCAGGTGGCGCCCTCTGGCGTTGGTTACTGTTCATTACGTCTGAATGACTTCATAATCCTAATGGTGTAGAATAGGCTTTCTGGAATAGGCATTTTAAAACCCAATAATTTACCATCAAAATGTACTAAAAACACAAAAAGCTCACATGATGGCTAATATAATGTCATGCAGACTCCAAAAAGACTAAGAGAAGCCATGATTCAATACTGTATTTCGTTCTTTATTCAAACATCATCAGGAATGAAACATTATTTTGTCCATATGGACCATATACTAGAATTGAAGTAACTTAACTAACCAATCAAAAGCAAGAAACCGGTAAAATTGACTAATCAAGGCAAACAAGGTGTGACATATTATTAATGAATTAACAACTTACCTAAAACATAATCAATTTTGATAAAGTGTGAACAAACGGTTAATATGAATAAATAAACTACATGTTAATGGCTAGTTGAACAATGCAAGGTCTTTAGATGCTTTTAATCCGGTATTTAAACATGGTTTATAGCGCCTAATAGCCAGGGCTTCTGTCAATAATATTATTAGATATTAAAGAATGGTAATTAGAACCCTGAACATCATCATATTCACCAAATTAATAGGTAAATTAATCACATTATGGCTACGTTCAGACTTTGAGATAAGCCGGCCGGGTTTGAGTTAAGCCCGGCTCAATGTTAAGCCCAGCTTAACTTTGCCGGGCGTTCAGACTAGCAGGATTAGCCAGGTGCGAGAATGTGCATAATAATGAATCGTAACCAAACGTGTTTCAAAACATTGCTCGCGAAACATACGCTAGCTCATAGCGTACGTAATTGAATGCTGATTGGTCATTTTGTTACCCGAAGTCAATGCAAGATCCCCCTTATAAAAGTTAAACACGATGGCACGCCAGGCCTTGAGATAAGCCACCTAGTTCAGACTGGC